ACAGACGCACACACACACAGACGCGCATGAAACCAAACCAAGGAGGAGCTGCAGACCGCTGTTGGCGAGGAAGCACGCCGTGACCTTTTGGTGTCATGGATGACGATGTGCTGAAAACCTTGACAGCTGCAGTCTTTTTGTTTCGGTGGTGTATAAAGTCATCACGGCGGAGTTCAGGCAGGAGGAAGACTAGTGTGTGTGAGTGTGTGTGTGTGGGCCTGAGAGGCACAGCTGCTTCTGTTTCTTTGAAATATTCAGAAATGTGGTCTTCAGAAGGCAAGCAGGTGAAAGTTAGAAGTGATGGGAATGATGAGATAACTACATTTTTACAGAGAAAGAGGAAATTGTAAGCACTGGTTGTTTTTATTTGTGAATCAAGAGGACGGTTTGTATCCGTCCTCTCATTTAATTCAAGACTAACCCCTTTTGGGTGAACCCCCTCAGGGCCTCAGCTACTTTTTAAGGCCTTCCTTTGTCCGTCTCCCCATAACGACGCATCTTCAAAAGTGAATCAATTTGCTTTCAAGTATTTTTTATTTTTTTTTGGGTCCATCAGAGTTCCTTAAAAGTCTTATCGAGAAATGTGCAGACAACTTGACGCCTCGCTCGCCGGCAGCTGTCTGCTCACTCAGCCAGAAACCGAGCGGTGCCCCTCGGACACCAACTGCAAGAGCTCCCCAAAGACCGGAGGCACAACCGGCCCGCGGTGTGACCAGCGAGCTCCACAGAGCGAACTAATATCCATAACGCAGCGTCATGTGAACGGCTGCTGCAAAGCGCCACCCAGAACAATTACTCACACTGTACAATATCTGACCCTGGAGCCGCTCGTAATCGGCGGCGAGGACCGGCTAACGGAAAGTGATGACTGCGCCCCAAGGTCCTGTCCGGCAGGATTACTGTTGCCAAAATCGTCTGCTTAAAAGCTCCCGGTCTCGTTCAACCTCTGGCCCGTCTCTTGTTTTAATAAATAAATACGATAGCAGGTTCCCCAAGGGCAGTCTGGACAAGCCGAGTGGAATTTCATTGTCATTGTCAGGCCGAGACTAAACTCGCTCTCCGTCTTAAAAAGGTGGAAGACGTTTCTCTGGAACTGTGTCTCCCCCCCCCCCCGCAGAGAAAAGAAGCCAGTTTGCTGAACCTGAATGCACCTCGTCCCGGAGGGGGTGCCTGATGTGTGCTGCCACCTGCTGATGCCCGGGCCAAAGACCTCAGATATTCTGATCCAATTTAGGCTCCTTTAAAACACTTTTTTATCATCTGAAATACACGCGAATAGGAAAAATTACTAAAAAATTCAAGTTTATTTCAGTTAATCAGATTAAAAGCATATATACAGGGAAACATCTGGGTCATCTGGATATAAAACAGTCTTGGATGCGTCTCGTGAGGGAACTGCGTGTGCTGAAGCACAGAGTCCTGATCCCGGCTTTGGTCTTCCTTTACGTGGAGCAGCTGCAGCACAGTACTTCATCATACGGCCCGCTGTAGCTGTGGAGCAAAGAAAAGGTTTTTCACTGTTAGCCAGAAAGAAACAGCTACCTCTCTGGTCCGAAATCAGCCCTTATAGAACATCCTGGATCTCAGCAACATGATTAATGAAGCTTAGAATTTAAAGACCATATCGCCTAGTGGGCGAATATACATGAGTAAATAATCTTAATCTAAATGATCCAAAGATTAAAAACACTAAATCTGATCCCTCTGCTTTCAAACAAACTCCATCCAGGCTGTGGGTTGAAGTAAGGTCATCAGTCACTCAGAGGCAGCGTGCGTCCTGTGTCTCCCCCTTCTGGCAGACGGAGTTACTGCAACCGTAACCGCTTCCTGTTTCTGCAGAAATTCTTTCCTCTAAAAATTGTTTCTCCATCTGGAGCTTCGACAACTTTTCTTAGATCCCTCAGCAGCTTGCTGGATTACGCTGTTGGCCACGGCGACCGCCTCTGTGGCCCCTTTTGTTCTCAAAGGGGCCCCCCGAGAGGGGGCCACAAAGCCAGCCCAGGGAAATGTCTGTGGCAGAGCTTCAAGGCTCGAACACAAACAAATACTTACACTAACCCTTTTTTAAAATTCATATACAGGAATTCAGATGTAATTATTAAGAACAATGCTCTACTGTGTTAGTTGGGGTATTGGACCTTCTCTGGGTGTTGTGCTACATGACAAAGCCCAAAGCCAGGCACAGCAGAGACCATCAGCCTACTCATAGAAGTCTTCAAAACCCGGGCATGTGCTTAACTGGTGTCTAATTAAGCTCAATGTGTTGATGACACAGGAACAAAATCGAACTCTGAAGACGGGAAACAGCAATAAAATAAAATAAAAAAAACAAACATTAATTCAAGCAATGAACCTTGTAGGGAAATATTTCCAACAGCTCTGGATGATGGGAAAGATTCGTTCTAATTGATCATAACACAAACGGGCAAATGCAAACATTCCTCCAACACAAAATCTATTTGCAGCTTGGCCTCGTTTAAAAGTGGTGGCCTCAAAAAGGCCAATTTAAAATATTCCAAAAGAAATCCATCTTTGATTTCTGCTCAAACCAGACTAAACATTCAACCGAACCCTTTAATAAGAAGGAGGCAAAAACAAATATCAAGCTTTGGAGGCCGGGGAGACGGCGGCGGGACTCACTCTATGACGGAGCAGACGGAGCAGCAGAGGCCGGAGCAGCCGGAACACTGTCGGGAGCAGGACGAGCAGGCCGGCCGCTCGCACTGGGAGCACGGGGCCCCGGACGCTGGGCTCCTCTGGCACACGCAGCAGCCCGGAGAGGCCGCCGGGGCGCCTGCACAAAGCACAGACACGGGGCACCAGAGTTAGGAGCGTCCAGCCCAACGGCAAGACTGACATCTGCTGGTGTACAGCAGGAACTGAACGGTTTCAAAAATCAGAAATCTACTTTTGAGCAGTTTTGTCAGAAAAGGCTGCAAATCGCTCCGATCTGTCAATACTCCATGCGTGCCCGACAACTTGATAATAGAATTAAATGTGCTGGAAAGTTAGCCATCTGAAGGAACGAAATTGAAAGCAGTCCAGCTTGATTCAGTAGGAAGCTGAAGTGAAAAAACAAACAAGACAACCCCACATGTCCATGAATTAAGAGGAGGTTTTTTTTTACCTGTATTTTCTGTTATAGACTTTAACTCCGCCACACAATTTGTTTTATTGTATTTAACAGCTATTGTTATACCTCTGAATATTTTACCATAAGTGTTTGCTAATCCAGTTTTCCATCATCTGAGGATGATTAAAGCGATGGGAAATGTGCAGTTACGAGACGACATTTTGAGCTAAATTTTGCTCCAAATTAAACATGTTTACAAAACAACAGAAGAAGAATTTTGTTCTGCACCATTGTGCCATTGTTTTTTACTCATGAAATAGAGGAAAGTAAAACAAACACCTGGGCACAACATGGAAATGTAAGACACCATTGTCCAAATAGTTGCGAGAAGAAGAGAGAAAAGAGAAAAAAAAGGAGCAACTTGCTCCATCTTTCAATTTGGACTTTAGAAGTGGTTTAAGAGGCGTTTGGGGCCATGACGTCACCGCCTGCTGACCAGGCTCACCTTGTGCAGCAGCTCTGGTCAGCCTCCCGTCCTGACCAATCAGGGTCTGCCCCCTGAGCAGCGCGTGAGCCTCTCCACAGGGCTGAGGGTCCGAGCCCTTCTCCTCTCCGGTCCATATTTTGCCCATGACAGCTTTGGCCCCGTTAAAAAGCAGGTTCTTCGTCTTATCTAAAAAAACGGAAAACAAACAGTCATGGGGGAAGTTGTAAGAGTCACTCAGCTGGCAGCCAGATGCTCTCAAACACTGTTTGGTGGATCAAAAACTTAGCTGTATGCATTACGTTATGTTCGCATATTAATATCAAAACAGTTTACGACAACATAACACAAGAACAATATTCTTAAAAGACTAGATACATGCTTGATTGGACAAAAAAAAAACTGTTAAAACGGAAAATGTGTCAAAAGCTGGAAGATAAATGTACGAGTTAGCTTACACAAGCTAACATTGCTACAAACGCGTACGCACACATGTGCTTACCGTATATTTCTTGTCGGTATTTGTTCCCAAAAACGCCGTAATTGTTCAGCTCCTTCTGTCCGATGTGTATCTTGTACTGGGAAGAAAAGGCTTCAGGAAAAGGACACGTTCGTTTTGGCATTTTGGCTGCAAATCATGCACGCCCCGTGTTCCTGCGCACTTTTTTTACACTTGTTTGTTGCGGGAAAAAAATAACGTAGGACAGGCAGACAGGAGCCAATCACAGACAGATTCCGTTGTCACGTGGACGTTTAAAGCAAATCCAACAACTGCTTTGATATCACGTGACTAAGGGCTCCCGCTAACTCCTGTGCTGCATTCAAAGACTGTCGATTTTTGTTCATTTCTAATTTTATTAATGAATGACAGGAAAAAACCCTTTAAGGACCAGCCTGATTGGCCGTTAGGAACATACAAGTGGAAACATGTGGAGGACTTGTCATTTATTTAGCTACTAACTGTTATACGTTTGTGAATGCAAGTTTTCTGAAGTTTTCTTCTTGAAGTTACTTCTTTTGATAATCACTTTTAAAAAAGGAGACTGCTTGGATTCTAAATATAACTGCAATAGCAGTTCTTACCTTCTATCTTGGACATTTCACTGGATTCTCTATATTTTTAAAAATATGATCACACACTGATAAGTAAACCCTTAATTTAATTTGTAAAAACTATTTCAAATCTGTCTCAAAACTGAGATCTGTCGGGAAAATTGTAACATTTTTGGATTGGCATTTTGCTCATATCCAAACTTTCATGGAATAGGGAGGACTATAAATTTTAAATGTATTCAAATTATAAAAGATTCAGCTTGTTTGAGTTAATTCAAATCATAGATAAGAATGTTGATATGATTGATGTGACAAAAATGACACTGAAGTATGGCAACATACACATGATTATTTAATCAGGAGAAAACATTTTGTAGTGAAACAATGTCTCGTCATTCCAGCAGGTTTCTTCCATCAAGGTAGATGATGATTTAGAACATTTGGATCATGCACTCTCTTGATTTTCCGACACCAACCCACTTGACTGGAGAGAGAAAAGGACACAGAATGAGAAGAATGCAAAATATCAGAAATTATAACCAAAGTAACGTAAAAGACAACAAGCAGCCTTTAGAGAGAATAAAGTAAATCAGGCTCTGTGTGTGAGATTGAAAAACTCATTTTGTGTAAAACATACTTGGGACGCCGATGTGGTTTTCAATGAAGCGGATGTAGTTCTGGGCCTTTGCTGGAAGGTCGTTCCACTTCCTGGCTGCAGATGTGTCTGTCTTCCAGCCGGGGAAGGTCTCGTACTCGACCTCCACTTTGTGCAAAACGTCCATGTTGGCTGTGATTAAAGAGTAGCTGTCAGTTACATTCTTAACATAACTTAATACATCTGTAAAGCACGGAGGACTTAGTGTCTATGTCTCCCACAACTATTTACCTGGGAAGTGAGGAATTCTTTTCCCATTGAGTTTGTAGGCAACTCCAACTTTAATTTCATCCAGCACATCCAGAATATCAAGTTTTGTCAAAGCAATTCTGTTGGACAAATACCCACAACATGTCAATACAGCTGGAATTTTCTTTATGACGAACATATGCCAAAAACACATGATAGTTTGATTTAACGCCTCTGCCACTCACGCGGTGAATCCATTGATCATGTGAGCATATCTGACGATGACGAGATCCAGCCAGCCGCAACGCCGCTTCCTTCCTGTGGTGACCCCCACCTCATGACCCCTGGTTTGCAGCAGCTCTCCTACTGCCTGCAGCAAACAGGAAAGAAGTCAATTCCTGCTACTTCATGGACTTGAATGAGGTAACTAAAATTATGTAATACGCGTATTACCAATATGTGCAGTAGAGTACAACAAAGCATCCCGCTTGCTTAAGGGTACAGTTTTAACTTCTTGACCTTTGTCCCTGTGGTCAGTTCCCGTGACAGGTAACATAAACCCGGCTCAGACTGTAAATATATCCTTAACCCAGACTCGGGCCCTAAATTTATCCCTGTGTGCATGTGATCTGCAAAAGAGTTAAAGACTGTTTGAACCCATCTCTTACAAAATTTAACAGCTGCACTAAGCTTGAATGTGCACCACAACCCCTTTGCCCGTCTCACGACCACGGACTCCACATGTCAGGCAGAACATTAGTGGAGCCCATGACAAGTCATTTGTCTCGTCTTACATGGACCAGAGGAGAAAAGCCAGCATGTGACGGCGACTCCCCCCTTGGTCATTCATTGAGGCTCACTCTATCTCTTACATTGAGCTGCTCCGTGGGGAAAGCTCCGATGCCCACTCTGGTGGTGTAGGCCTTGGCTACACCAAACACATCACCGATGTTCAGCGGAGGGATCCCTAGGCCGGTGCACACCCCTCCCACAGTGCAGTTTGAGGATGTCACAAAGGGATATGTGCCTAAACAAAAAAACAAAACACATTTCAACGGTCCTGACTTGTCCAACATTCCCTAGAATTCAATCAGTGCCATGAATAAAACTCTACCAAAGTCAATGTCCAGAAGAGCTGCATTGGCCCCTTCAACCAGAATCTTCTTCGGAGCTCCATGGAGAGCTTCGTACATATAATAGACCCCATCTCTCACCATTGGGCGCAATCTCTCTGCATATTCCTGCATCAGATAAGGAAGCAGGTGAACATCGGGATCTGTGACAGCCGGTCATCCAATAAAGTGAAATAGCATCTCATTTACTTTGAGCTTTTTCAGTTGGTCCTCAACGTCAACTGTCAAGGAGGGATACATGGACTGATACTGGTGGACGAGGTTCTTAAATCTTAAAGGAGTTCAAAGAGTATAAAGTGAGTTGTTTTACAGTACACAACGCAGTCGGATTCCTTAGCCCCCATTTATCAAATTTATGGGTCCTACCTTGTGGAGAAGTCTTTATAGTCACCCAAGAGGTCACAAACGCGCAGACCAGTGCGAGACGCTTTGCTGGAGTACGCAGGACCGATGCCCTTCTTAGTGGTTCCTATGCTGTCGTGTGAAAGAACGTGTGAAGTCAGAGTTGATTCGAAAAGATTTGAACGAGTGGTGAATTCTTGCATCTTTCATGTCTACTTCACTGTGAACCGTGCCCCGCCCTCATGCCTTACTTCTTTCCTTCTGTTGCCTGCCTTTCGGTCTCCTGCAAGCCATCGACAACCTGATGGAAATCGAACACTGTTGAGAAAACAAGATGTTACCTTCGTGCTTTCCAAAACAGGTGTTCACATCTGCCCAAAAGAAACGGCCACCGAGAACTCAACCTACCAAGGTGAGCTCTGTCTGAAACAATGAGTCTCTTATCCCAGCCTTTCAGACCTGCTCAGAGAACACAAGTGTAAGTTTCTATTTTTACAGATTTCTTTTCTGAATGAATATTGATATTTTAGGTATTTGCTGAAATACCTTTCTTGTCATTTTTATCTCCCTCTTCAAACAATCCTGGTAGATGTATGACCACTCCATTACCTGGGAGAACAAAAAAAATTCCAGTGAGACTGTGTATGCTTTAAATGGCATCTCTTGTCAGTACCGTTGGAAGCATTTACCAATCATTGATATGCTTTTGGAGTTAATGATTCCACTGGGCAGAAGGTGGAAGTCGTACTCCTTGCCGTCCACAACCACCGTGTGTCCAGCATTGTTTCCACCCTGGAAATCAAAGGCAGGTACAGATTAGGACGACCACCTGAGATGACTGAGACAGATGGACATGTCTCTTCCTATTGCCATAAAACAGTGTTAAGACACTATATTCCGGGATTTGCCGAGCTTTTCCAGCACCTATTTTAACAGACTTGGCCGGTACTGGTGGACCCTCTGCTCTGTCCCCCCTCACTAAGGCCTGGCCTTCTCATATATCAAACCAGCCCGAGAATGTGACCTCTCCAGCCCAGCGGGTTGGGCTCTCAAGCCTTCAGAACACAGGGTGCCACACAGCAACTGTTGACAGGTTTCAGTGCGAGTCCCAGAGCAGGAGTGACCTCTGGGGTGGCGGTTTTTTTCATGTATAAGGGTGGAAAACACACCTGCAAATGTCTGTTTTCAGAAATGCGTTTGTGCATATGGTAGCTGTTCACATGAATTCTTTACGGTTTTATTCTGTGATCAGATGGAGATGTGAGAGCCACTTTACACCACCACACCGGGCTAAAAAACAGTGACATTTGACATTATCTGGACTATGTGTGGCATGATTTCAAATGTCACATTAATCACCACAATTATCATTTCAGTAAGGCAGTGGACGGTCACCAAACAAATACTTATTTCTTTATACATTATACTTTATATACACTTCATAAATATATATATTTACTATGTTGTAGTAAGTAAATGTAATGCAAAATATAAAGTATTTTATGGTAACAGTGATGTGATAGTCTGAGCACCTGCTATACAGACTCAGAAGATTTTTCTATGAGCTTCTTACAGCCACCAGAGCTTTTTTCTTAATGTTTTATACCAAAGCCTTAAATTATCATTGGATAATATCCACATGTTTCCATTGTTATAAACACTCTAAGTCAATTTAACGCCTCGCTTTGCTTGTGAAAAAAAAACGGCCACACATCCAGCTGGGCTGAAGTCACAAATCCAAAGCATTACCTGACATCTGCAGACCATGTCAGCCTCGGTGGCCAGCAGGTCGACCACTTTTCCTTTCCCCTCGTCTCCCCATTGCGCACCGAGCACCACCGTCACTTTGTTCCCCGCGTCGTTGCGCAGCCGCTTCTGTCCGGCCGCGGCGGATTGACTGGTGTTTTTGTGGTCTTTGGACGACCAGCTGAGCGACATGTTGGCAGGTGCTTAGGGTCGTTCCGTCTCAAGAAGACTAGAGTGTCTCCAAGAGCGGCACTGCCATATCTGTAACTTCAGAGCTGATGATGTCAGAGCCAGACGCACAGAGGGACGTCGGTGTGCAGCAGCTCTGGGCTTCATCATGGAGCTTTCTCCAATTTGTATTACTCACACAACACAGATAAACAGTCAATTCAATATTTATTAAAATACAATGTTAAAAGAAATAATCCATTATTTATTTTTTTTGCAAATAATTAAAACGATATAGAAAGAAATTAAGATCTTGGCAGCTTTGTTTGGATAAATTAAACGTCTGGCAACCGTCCAGCATCTTCCTTTCTGTGTGCTGGCTGGTGCACAGAGTTCATAGCAATAACACTGTCACTGAGTATTACAGGTATACAAACATATAAAGCACATTCAAATGAGTCTTTTTTGATCAGCTGTAGAATCATGTACAAACACAAAAAAACCTTACAATTTACATAAAGTGACGTGCTACACCCATGCTGTGGAAATCCGAGCCTTGGATGCATTTCCTCTTCTTGTTCAGGGAATTTTTGGCAAAGGGAGCCTTCATCATCCTCTTCAAAAGAGTTCAGTTTTCTTATATTCTTATAAAATAAAGTACAATTTAGTCTTTCCAGTTTGCAACTCCAGTGCAAAATTAACATTTTCTCTTTCCTCTTGAGTTCCTTTTTCTGGAGGTACCTATAGGAAAACAAATATTCAAATGAATAAAGAGAACCAAATTATTTAAAAGAAATTACTTTAATACCCTTTAAAAATGTTTTATTAAAACAGGGCTTAAAAGCACTTGGGGAAGAAACACCTTTTTTGGCTTGCCAGCATAAAAAGTTTTAAAATAGCTCCCCACCCTCCTCTTAATTTCTACCTTATAAAACCACTTGCATGAAGATATTTCATAACAGAGCACAATTTACAGGATGCACCTGAGACCGTTTGTGGATAAAACAGCCCCACATGCAGATTTAGAGAATGGACAAGGAAATATGGACAGAGAGGACACAAAAGTGACAGTTTTCATGGCAGAACTCGGTCCACAATGGCGTCACAGTGATTTCACAGACTGCAAGGTTGATTGAGATCAGTTGTCTTGTCAGACTATTAGTTTAAAAGGATTAATGTGCATTATAGAGCTCAGAAGTTAATTTTAAGATGGATTTGATTGACATAATCACCTCAAGGCAAGATTTTAGCATGATTTTAGGTTAAAGAGAGCAAGCGTTAAAAGTTGGACAACACAGACAAATGAAATTTGGGTTCCAGTTAGACCGACAGATGACGTGTTATTGGCACAAAGCTCTGACGATGATTGAGTTCATTAGGAGAACATTCCTGTTTACAGTTTGCCTCCGGTCGATTTGACCTACCTCACTGCAACACACAGCCTGTTTTATGATTATTGTGTCCTTTCCCACTGTTACCTTGTGTTTCAGAGAGTCAGAACGGAAAACAGAACATTCAAACAGACTGAACAGAGCTTTAAATCCATTCAGTATCAAAACTGCAAATTAAAAAGGTGCTGCACATTTCATTAAAATGCATGAATTTAAGCAACAAAAATTAAAAATATACCCTAAAATACCCCATGCATATAAAATAGACTATAAAATGCAATATCAGCAAAATAAATAAGGATTTCTCTTTAAAACGCATGAAGAGACTAGCATTCCAAACATGATCTTTATTTGAGTGAGGGGATAGATTACCTGGATTACTCTTCTTTTTGTTTCGCTTAAACAGCTTCAGCTGTTTCTTTGGTTCAGGTTTAGGGGAGAGGGGAACCACTTCGGGGACTGATGGGGGGTCTTCCGGCTTCAGACCATCTGGGACGTCAAACCCGCTGTTGACCTCACCGAGGGCGGTCGCACCCATTTTAGGATCTGAATGTCTCCGACAAGTCCCCTCGTCTTGTCCCCCCTCCTCTCCACCCACCTTCGGGTCCACTGGCTGTTGCAAATGGCTGCCTTCACTGCCCTCATCTCCCACTGCACTGCCGTCACTGCTCAGTTTCATGTCGACGTCTAAACTGGCTGAGGAGCTTTCTCTGACGTGGACGTGCACGTCGATGTCCGTCGGATTCTCTGGTGCCAAAGCGGCCTCCAGCAGGTCCGAGTCTGAGAGGGAGGACGGGCTGAAGACGCTCGTCTCGGCTGAATCTGGGGAGAAACCGTTGGTGGGATGTGGCAGTGGGGCGTCGTCTTGCTTTAAGGTTGCATGTTGCTTCAGGAGTTGACCCTCTTGTAGCGACGCAGGCCTCTCCAGGGGTGTTGAAGTGGGCTCTGCTGGAGTAATTCCAGGAGGTGGAGCTTCCTCCCCGCCCTGGTCTGCCCCGGCTTTAGGTGCCGGGGCAGACTCTCCCGACAGGCTGGGGATGCCGTTCACTTCCCCTGCGAGGCCGTGGGGAGCCTCTGCTCGAGGTTTGGTGGGAGTGGAGGAGCTGGCTGCTTCTACGGCCCCTCCTCCTACAGATGTCACACTTGACCCTGACAGAAAGAAGCCAATAGTAACGATGAAGGGATGCTAATCGGGACAAATTCTGTCCTTGTTAACAGGCGATAGGAGACAAGGCATGCAGACAAAAAGCTTGCCATGAGACTAGCTTAGCAAGGTGGGAGTGGTGAGGAAGCACAAATAATCCAGCAAGGCAGATCTGAGGTTTGCAGTTAAGCGGATCAGGAACGGAGCAAGGAACTGTGGACGGAGACCACACTCTCTTGTCCTTACCAGGTGGGAGGGGATCTCTATGCATTTCACTAGAAGGGAGGCTTTCCGAATCGCACCTGGGCCGGGTCTTTCTTAAGCTGAAGCCTTTCCTGATATCGGCCAGGAGGTGATCGATGATGCAACCATCGTTCTGTGGCACAGTGCTCTTTTTAACTGAAAAAAAACATGAGGAAATAACATGGGTTTAAAACACCAAAACACTTCACAATGCGCGTTTTCTGGAGATTTCAATTACAAAGCGTGTGGCCTACTTATTTTTCCATTTTCTCCTTTCCGTCTCTTGGACTCCTCCTCTGCCAGCTGCTTTTTCCTTTTCTCAGCTTTGGCTGCTTGCTCTTTCCTCATTTTGTTCTCCTTTGATCATGAAAAAAAACAAAGAATGTCACTGACTGCTAAGAACAAGATGTGCATGGAAATGTGTATTTGTGCTGAAGCATTAACATCCTCCAGTCATTCCGCTATCCTATGACACACGTATTCCAAGCAAAAACACCACCCCCACGCACAAGCGGAAACCTCAGCTGTGCAGCGTATTCATGCAATCACCAGCATGGAAACATGACTAATAAGTTCCTCCCTAACCTTCAATGCTTTGATGAAAAGTTCTCGAAAAGTTCTGATGGTTCCGAAGAGCTCCTCAAGGGACAGATTATGGGCATCTTCACAAAAGTAGACAGCCAGGTCAAGTCTCTTCTGCTCGATATCAACAAATCGTTCATTTAGAGCTTGACATGCCTCCAGATTTTCCTGTAGCAGAGAGCAAAGGGGGATATGATCTAGCTGCTAAACAAACATACAATAAAAGCTTCGGGTTTAGCCTTGTTGCTTCTATTCGGGGGAAGTTTGAAACCCTTACCTCAATAACTTTTACATATTGCTCTTTCACCTCGTCCACAGAGTTGGAGATTTTCTTGGCCGCCTCATTCAGTTGTTTAAGTAAAACACCACTTTCTGATTGGATAGAATTCAGACTGACTCTGGCGAGGAACAGAAAGCCTTTTGTTACGCTTCTCAAAAAGAATAAATCTCTTTATATAGCCGACAAGAAGAAAACAATGACTTTGATTTTGGTTAGATATGAAAGATTCCTATACCCCGCTGCTTTTTGACATATCTCTATTTCCTCTGGCAGATCCAACAGCTCGGGGTGGTTTGCCTCCGCTTCCTTTGCATAAACAATCAACACAGTGGGTAATTAAATCAACTGGGAGAAAAAACAAAATGGTGGCAGTTAGCTTGTTTGTGTACCTCCAGGATGTGATGAAGCAGCGTGATGCGGCTCTTGTTGGCCTTGGTCTCTGTGAGCTTGAGCAGAGAGCTAATTTTGAAGCCCTCAGCATTCCCTGTGTGACTTCCCTGAAAGTGGAGCAACAATGAAAAATGCAGGCTATGGCTAAATGTCACCATGTATGAAGCCTATATTGTCGGAGAGGCTCTTACATAATTGAGAAAGTTTCCCACATCAAGGATGAGCCTGCAGAAACTGGGCATGAGCGTACTCAATCTGAGATCTGAGAAAGAATTAAGAGTTGATTCGGATAGTCGGGAGCCGTAACGGCATGTGTGCCCTCCCAGATGAGGAGTTACTTACTTTGGCAGGCCTCCTCCACGAGCTTGACTTTAGGCTTGAGCATCTCTAATGTTGATGCGGTCTCCTCGCACAGCAACATGCACTCAATCCTCAGCTGATAACTGAGAAGAAAGGCAAGGAAGCGGCGCTTCAGTTAACAATTACACAACTCGAGCTGCGAAGTGTCGCATAAAATCAGATCTGAAGCTGAAAGTTACCACGGCACAGTGAGGAGGGAGGTGTAGAAGCGGTCCACGTTTGCCAGCTTGTCTCTTTCTCCTTGGAAAGACTTCAGATTCTCAATCTACACCAAAAGAAAGATGCAAAAGGAAACTTGGAGGGTTTCAGGGTGTAATGACTTTTTAAGATCAGTATTCACACGAGTTACAAACCTCGTGCCTCTCTGGAAGAATCTTAAGTAGCTGTTTTAACGATTCTACGTCAAATCTGGTCCGGTCTCCGCTCTGGATCATAGCTACAAAGTCCTCATTTGTGCTGGACAAAAAAAAAAAAAAAAAAAAAGAGGAAAACTACCAATTAGTGAAAATGAACCCACTCAGAAAACAATCAAAATCTGATGAGAAAGGTCTCTCACCATTTGAACTGCTTCAGAAATATGTTCATATTCAGGTTTTTCTTTGGGTCAATGAACGTTATCTGCGAATACAAAATGAAAGAACGGAGCATAAAAACAGATAAATTGATTGCTCAGATTTGATGACGGGCCGTTTGTTTGGAGTGCTGACCGGGCGCACCTCTTTAGGCTCCTTCTTGACAGGAGCAGCTGCTTCCTTGTCTTTGGGTTTGGCCACTGGGAAACAGAACAGCTGCTCGATGCTGTTGTAGTCGGGCTGGTGAGGAGGCGGCTCTTTCTGTACAGAGGCCCACATGGAGGGACCATCTGTGGGCATGGGGGGGGGGGGGGGGGAGGACAGTAACCTGTCAAAAGCTTGTGTGGCTTCATTCTGCTTTTAAAAACGGGAACAAAAGTGTTCCAACTCATTGCAAATATGAGTGAATTTATCATCAAAATGCAGCTTAGACTGATGTATATGCATGTATACGGTTAAAAGGATGAAGGCCTGAGACGAATGAAGGCTATTCTGAGCAGTCGATAATTTAAGATTTCACACATACAAATTGGCATCACACATCTGAAGTCCACGTTCCACAAATTGCTGCTGAAATAACCTGAGCTTCAGCGGGAGTGAGCGGCCCACTCACCCGTAACGGCGCGGAGTTTCTGCCAGTTGAGCTTTTTCATCTTCAGAGTGGGGCATCGATCCGTCTTTGTGGGCGCGCTGCACCCCAAGACGTGGCAACTCTGAGACGCCGTCATGCCCGGGGGGGGCGGCGGGGGCGGGGGCATGCCGGGTAAGGGAGGAGGGGGCGGCGGTCCGCCCTGCATTCCTGGTAAGGGTGGCGGAGGGGGAGGAGGACACATGCCTTGACCTGAGGGCGGTAATGGAGGAATTCCAGGTAATGGAGGAGGTGGAGGAGGAGGTGGTGGAGGAGGTGGACCACCAAAGCCTCCGGGTAATGGCAGAGGTGGTGGTAAGGGTGGAGGAGGCGGAGGAGGAGGAGGAGGGGAAGCACCCAGTGACTTCTGACTGGACGCTGGGACTTTGTCCACAACCTGGTGCTCCTGGTCAGTTTGCACAGCCTTGTGAACCAAAACTACAGACCCGTCCACCTCATGACGGCTCTCACGGCGTCTCCCTTTAAAAAACAGCAGCCGCTGCATGATTTTCTCACAGGACTCCATCTGGGCTGAAGCACAAATCCACACACACAAATACATAAAAATAAAAAAAGACATTTCCAACAGCAAAAGCTTTCCACCCTTTTGTCACTGTGAGTCATACAGCGGTGGTCATTTCCCCAGATAATAGCTCCCCTTGGCGCTTTAATCAGGCTATTAGCTACAAATGATCCTTCCGAGTGTTGACCCAAGTGAATGCGTTGTTATTTGGCTGACTCACAGTCCTGGGCGAGCAGGGTGGCTCTGCTAGTGATGGCTTCAAGAGCCAGCCAGATTTCAGTGCGAGCTGGTCCCAGCTCCAACATTGCCTGCAGGATGGACAGCAGCTGAAGAGACGCTGGAGAGCTGCTCACCTGCATACATAGTGAATCAAACGGTAAACCCCCCAAAAAAGCCTACAAATAAAAAAGTACATCTATTTATCTTCATCTAAAAGTTAACTGCATTGAACGGCACAGAATTCAGCGTTAGCTTTTTAAGCATTACGTCAGTCTCCACCTTGTTGAAGAGGGCGGTGAAAACCTCAGAGTGATTGCTCATATCAATGCCGCCATATACTCGCAGAATCTCTTCGTCATCCTCAGCCATTGCGTCTTCAAAGGCTTCACATTGAATAATCAAGTCTTCATCCTCCTGCTCCCTGCACAGCGCCACACACACAGTTACCCAGTGGAGAACACTTAGCCCAACACAACTCTGTTTGTTAAGGATGGAAACTCTTTATAAACCAAAGATATTTCTGGGTTTTAAAGGTTCTCTTAATAAAATAAAAATCAGGGGCAGTGATTTTGTTGTATACGTTGGGAAATTAAGCAGCTGACTCACCTTAACTTTGGGAGAATGTCAAGTAACTGGAGGCCTTCAGAGACACAACCAATAAAACACCATTCAGTTATCACAACATTCGATTACTTAGTTTAAGCAAGTTTTTCCGTAAAAAACATCTTCTCCTTGAAGTAATCTTTTAGTTTGGGGGCACTTGCAGGAAGCCACAGGTGGGCAATCACGAGGGAGGCGTGGCCAATTAGATGGCTGATTGCTTTAGGTGGCGGGGACAGTTTAATGAACTTATATGTGTTCATATAGGCTGCATTTCTTTTGCCAAACAATAAAAAATGCAGAGCTTTTCAGGCAGGATATTGGCTGATTGGCTATTTTTGGTGCTTCATAGAAAAATAGCATTGTTGGTTAGTGGCTGTTATTATAATCTGTATAAATACAATCCTCTTTTTTCTGCAGTGAATGGAAGTTTTGTTCAGGTGGGCCACTTTCCTAAAAATATGATCCCAATCTTATTCATTTAGTGTATTTTAACTGTGACTAATGCAATCTTCTTTCATCTGAAACATCTTACAGCCCCTGGTTGTCTTGTAAACGCACACCTAAATGATGCTGCACTCGGCTGAGGCTTGCCTAGTTTTTAAGCGTTTAGTGAAAGTGGGAATGAGGCCATTAGACCTATTCTTAGCAGAGACTCACTGACAGGGAGATTTGCAACAAGGCTCCTGCGGCTGACCCGCTTTTACCCTTTGCATAAACGCAGCGCTGACAATTATTAATGAGCTCCCGCTGAGCACCAATTTGTTGGTTAACGGCAGCAGGAGAGAGGACCCACCGATAAACTCCTTCCTCATCTTATCTCTCTGCCTCAGGTCATCCACGCCAAAGATGAGAGCGTTGATGACGCTGAGGACGGTGACCATGTAGGGCACGTTGTCTGTGGCCTGCAGCTCGTTCATGACCACGCTGAAGCGGTACTGCTGGGTCTTCACTCCCTGAAAGGCAAATTTAAGTCGGCATTAAGGCTGGAGCCCCCCACCTCCCCGTGACCCACCACTAGAGGGCACTGGCTGGTTATCTGGGGTCACTTGAGAGAAATGACGGCATCAGTTTTCATCTGCTTGCCTTGTAGTGATCCAGGGCGTCCAGTGCCAGGCGGTGGCCATCTGCGGAAAACATGCTGAGGGCTGCAAGGAGCTCAAACACCTGCTTCTTCACCATAATGTTGGAGGTGTCCAAAGCTGTGAAGTACAATCATCACACACTTTTCAGCCTCATTTTCTTAGAACATTTTCTTTTTCGAATCAAGGCTTTCTGGTTCGTGTCTGAATATAGAGCAGGGCACTTTGTCTCACCATCTATGAGGAATATGTGGCATTGTGATATAAATAATCACAGGTGTGTATGTGTGTGCAAGAGTGAAACATGCCAATACTCACAGATCAAAGTCGTGCTACATTTTTGCCAATGTCCTAAAGCTACCCTCTATGATTCATGTCTTTATATAAAGCATGACGGGAAATTTCAGCTTAACAAGCAGTCAGAGTGTTATTAAATTGATTAAAATTATAAAATTGCAATTATTACATAATATAAAAAATGTGTGTTCCCCTCCAAATACTGAGCAGGACTTATTTTTATCGAATCCTGATGCAATATGTGGAGTACCTGTGTCCTTGTCTAGATGGTTACTTGGGTCTTGTTAGGTTTAGGTTTAAGGACCTTATTCCATCAGATTTCTGATGACTAAATCATCTTGGTGTATCTTCATGTGAGGTTAAACTTAGACATAGGCATTTTGTTATAAAGACTGTGCATTAAGTTGACCTTGTGAGAGCTTCCGGATGTATCCCTCATTCTCTATGATGAAGTGGATCCCCGCTGAGGAGTTCATGACCGCGCGGACGCAGTTGACACACGTGAGCTGCAGGAGGGCGTCGGCAATGCGGGAGCACCCCCGCCCCGAGAGCCGGTCCAGGGCCTCCAGCAGGAGGTCCAGCCCGCTCAGCTCCAAGAACTGGACCATCCATGTCTGGTCGCTGCCCTCCAGGCGGCGCTTCAGGCCGGAGTAGTTGACCACGGTGGGGACCTGCAGCAGCCTGATGCACAGCTCCGGGTCGGCGCTCTCCAGGTTGGCTTCCTGCTGGGTGTCCGAGTCCTGAGAAGAACCCAGGCAGCCCCTGACTGCCGCCCACTTCTTTTTTCCGTCTGATACCCCGGACATGTTGGTCAGGCCTGCAGAGTAGAACAAAAACAAAAAGAAAGCTTTGAGTTTAACTTAAGCGTCAAAAAAGAAAATTAAATTATCGAGATTCTTTTCTGCAGATGTGACAGAGAAAATGTTTGAGCTTATTTTGGGATGCGGATAGTGGTTGGTAGAGTGACTGATATCCAATGTCTGTGTCTAGTAAGATAAACAGTGTTGGCACTGCTATCCCAGCCAGAGGAAGCAGGCCAAAATAAAGCTTTATCGGAATAGTAAATGACAGCTCGTCACTTTGTGGATGAGTAAAAGGCAAGTCAGCAGTCCGTCATCAGCAGCGCTGCCAGAAATTCCAACTTAATCCTACATGAAAGAGTGTCTCGCTGAAAGCTCATCAAAATTCAACACAATGCCACACTCGGCTTTGTCGGACAGTGAGCATTACAATCAGGGGCATGAGAAAGTTTGACCCTCCGACAGCGAGCAAAAGATGACAAGATGAAATCAATTTAAAGATGACATTACAATAAAAGCGCATGTTCTCTGATTTTGAGAAAAAATAAGAGCAACATTCAATATCTGAGTTAAAGACTTACTGTGCCTTAGGAGGAGATCCTTTACAAAGAGGCATTCAGCCTGTGTTGGTATTCATGCTCAAAATTAGAACCTTGACGAGCCACGATTTGCAGTATTTACATTTGTAATTCTCTGAGAGCATGCCGCATCAAGCCACTGGGATTGTTGCCCATTCCTCAAAAGATGAACAGCTCCGCTGCCTTAAAACGGGATGAATTCTGCCGTTGTGCAGCCATTTTTGAGCCATGCCACAGAGTCTTAAATGGATCGAGGTTGCGGCTATGACTCAGCCATTCCGGCATGTTTAAATGTTTTCCTTTTGAAAGTACTCAAGTGCTACCTCAGCAGCCCGCTTCCGGCCATGGCCCTGATCGAAGGTGAGCCTCTGTTTGTACCATCAAGCATTTTCAGAAGTCTGACAAACTTGTGCTAATAGAAACCATTGACAGCCTCATGCTGCCATCACCATGCTTCACTGTGCGGAAAAGTTGCTCTAGGAGTGGTCAGTGGAGTTGGGTTTGAACCAGAAAAAAGCCCTATTTGACCAGAGGATTTTCAAAGTGATCACATGACACCATTTGTTAAGAGGGGACTTCATGACAAATGCAGTTAATAGATTATCACGAGTACTGACGCCACTTCCTCCTTTTTCATATCTTAGAAGTTTTCAAAAATCCCTTTTTTTCTGACTCTGTTTCATTTCTTTGGAAGATCCTGTTAGAAAATGCAAGATCGTGCAAATGTTCAACCTCTTTTAAACTTTTCCTCGATTTGACAGTCAGCGGCTGCCAGAGTTATCTCCGCACAGCACAAGAAGGTCAAAACTGCACTGTTAAGTGTCTTAAGGTATGTTTTCTTTAAATTTGTGAGCTAGTTAAGAAATATGAGTGATGGAGGTCAACTTTTGAGCAAAGCATCTCAAGCATCTCAGACTGAAAGACCCTTTGGCAGAGTTTTGACCTCCACCTGCTTACTATTTTGTTTTATTCTTCGTTTAAATCATTCACATACATAAACCTCCACACTGTGGTGTCATGGAACTTTACTGATAATTCCTTGTAATAACTTCATATTACACAGTGTAAAAGGCATCAACTCGATAACTGGGTAAAGTTTATTCATAACACACATTTATAGGCTCACAAAGGGCTTTACAATAAACCAATTAATGGTCTGTTTTCATCATAATGCTTTTTGTTAAATGGCATTGTGTCTCATCGCAAAAAGCCCCTGCAAGGATTTAGTTTTGTTTCACTTTGTACTGTACAAATTAAAATGAACCTGACTTGACTTGTCTAGCTGAGACACACCCAAACAGAGATAAAACTCCTGCAAGTCAGTGGGTGCAAAAAAATCATTTTACAGGAAGAAACCTTGCAAGATTAAACTGGTAGTCCTAGCTGTGACTAAACGTTTATGGGAGCAGGTACTTTTCTTTGAAAAAGTGACTAAGACGGTGTAAGTGATGCCGCTCCCTTCCATCTCACTGTTCTGTGGACATCGTTATCTATCTCTTAACCCCATAATTATAAAACTTTTGACGAACTGTTACTTTCTTCTGTGTGTCTGTAAAAATCCCTATTTGCAGATGGAAAAGCTGCCGTTTACAAGGTACCCGTGTCACATCATGAATGTATGCATCCACACTACAAGTGGCCTTTCATGACTGACCTCCAGAGCCCTGGGACATTTTTGTTAGTTTTTTCCCAACCTGACCAAACCCTGAACATCTAAATAAAAAAGTCCACTTCACTCCAAGTAACTTGTATAAACACATTCCCACACTCCATTAAAATCAGGGGTAAAGTGCAAGCCAAAGATGAGGAGTTTTTTCTGTCAATCTAAAACTATTTTTGAAACACTTTTAGATTTGATCTCTGTGTTCATTTTAGATGGTTCAGCCTGGATGAACAGTTTTCTGTAACTGATTTCCCTCAGATGAGACACTGATTGGTGATATTGAGCAGAAACAATGCTTTGCAATTGTCAAGAAATCAGCCGGGAAGGAATTAGCCATTAGATAATCTCTTTTACCACCCATTGAGGCCTTTTCCAGGAATTGTCTTTCTCCTGCTCATAAGGAGCTGAGTGAACAACACTTACTTTCAGCTCGCACAATGCTCGGATGACTTTTCTGAAATATATTGCACACAACAGAAGTAATGAATTGTGTAAAAATCAAACAAATTAGGCTTTTATTCAGCGCACGGAGTCAAGGTAGAGTCAGGCCCTTCATCTCTCACTTTTGCTGGCAAGACATTTGTTGCTTGTGACTGCCGCATTCAAGTCCCGCTGCCAGTCTGTGAGTGTTACCGTGGCAGCGAGCAGACAGACAATGGTTTTTCAGAAAAAGCCCTCTCAGTGGCCTTCAAAGAGCTGTGTTCATTAGACACAGCATGGGTGGAATGCTCCCTGCCCCCTTTCAGGCTAATAGGTGCCATGCTCAGTGAGCCTTCCGACACTTTCTGGTTTTGCAGGACATTGTGCTTTCACATCATCTTGAGCAGAACAACAAAAGTTGCAAGCTCTCGCCTTCACAGTTGGGTTTCATTAAAATGCACTGAGAGTTTTGCTGAATTGATCCGGCTTCAAAATAAGACCAGTTAGGCTGAGGAGCCAATGTCTTGATCCAAATGAGAAATGGGTACAGTGACTTGTTAAAATCTACAAAAACTTGAAAATGTAATGTGAATACAAAAGGGAAAAAAAATGATACCACGCATATCTTAAAACATTTGGTTGTCCCAAGTCTGTTTTTGATGCCATGCTGCTTCAATTATGTTGAAGTTTGGCCTCTGAGGAGCTTTGATTGTATTCACCCCATCCAATACTTTTGTCCCTCTGATCTCTTAAAGGACACATTACACAACATTTAGGAACACGACACACTGCCAGCAGATAATTCTTCGGAAATCAACATAATTGTGCAAACATATTTTCTGTTGGTTAGGTTGTGCTCTTGTTGGCAGACTTTAGTAATTAAATAATGTCACTTTGCTACAGAATGCCAGCAACAAAGATACCATTTAAAAACGTTTCCGTCTTAGGTTGTCTGCAGGCCTACCACAGGTTCATTCACTGACCTCTTTATGTCAGATCAACGCAAACAATTCAGACTAAAGAGTTGCATTCCTATGACAGTGATTGGGGACAAACTCTAGACTTTGACATGCAAATGGATACCAAACCCCCAGCCAAGAAAAGGGACTTTTCCCCCATACTGGATGATTAGATACAGAAAGAAGGGTGTCTGCATGTCTGTGCAGCCAACAGGACACCACCGCATGGCTCAGGATCTTCCAAAGGGGAAGGAAAGGACTTTCCCACAACAGGAAGTTTGCCATCTGACAAAGCCCGAGTTCTTGTTTTGAAATCTCTTCGCTCAAGGCTGTTGATATGAAGAACTGACATTGTGTAATTAAAAAAACAGCAACTGGCTTTTCTTTTTCTGTGCATTCCTCAGTCGGTTATGCGAAAACTTTCATTTTGTCGACCTTGTCTGCCACAGCTCCCACATGCACCGCTAATAGCAGGCTGATTCACCGCACACAGGACAAGCCCACTCATCTGTCCTCTGGTTACACCACCCACTCAGCAGCCCACTGCTACTGTACAGCTCCAACACATTTGCGAATTCACCGAAACATCTCCGCTGATTTATTTCCTCTGGGACATATGCTGAGCTCAGTTGTGATTATAATCATCACGTGTCAGCAACACAAACTAAGGGGGCAAACTAATAGATCTAGAGACAAACGATTAAATTGCCAGAAGAGGGACAAGTTATTCCATGATCTGGACAAACATGAAACAGAGACACAGACAGATATGGGTAATAAGCAGACTGATATGACTGACTGCTTTGGTACACTTTAAAAAATGATTAAACAAAATCTGAGCGTCAAAATGCCAGAGATAACATCTGGTGCTCATTTAATCCACATCACAACCTCCTCTCCTCCCATCTGTACTGAGGAAGGGAGTGAATGGCATGCGCGTTGAGCACACAAGCCCATGTTGGAGTTGAAATGTTGCGCAACACAGCCTAATATTTGAGTTTATTTCTTCTCACTGTCTGAATATCCTCAACAGATGTTAGAACACCAGCACACTAACAGAGACACACATGACAACAAACACTGGCCAACAACAGCCTTAAAACAACAACGAGCTTACAGGGACTTTGGACACTCTATTTCTTGCTCCTTTTTTTTTTTAAATATCTTTTTCTCCTCATTCCGCCCAAGGACAAACCTCAAAGTTCCTCTTAATACCTCTTCCATGGATGTAAAAGCAGTCAGTCTGCATTACGCACTGGCACAATTTTAAAGACCTAAAATAGCGGCATTAACAGCGCTCCGCTGTTGCTTTGCGCCTAAATACCAGGAAAATAACGGGACAATCCTCACTTTACCGTTTGGGGGAGAAACATCTCAGAAAAATGAGGGCTATTCGCGGTCATCGCTTCACATCTCACACCTAAACAGGCTGTTGCACCCTGTGGGATTTTTCGGCTGCCAGTGATGTCTTACCTGGTTTTATTCCATGGATCTACTCTTGAAGAACAGCGTTCCTGAGGCGTTCATTTGAAGGAGCGCTTTTTGAACCGTGCATGCATCATCTCCCCCTGAAAGATGAGCAATAGACCCCTGATGATTTCAGCTATGTGTGGCAGGACAGACCTTGTATGGTATGCCTGTGGCACTGCTTTGAAATCGCCCAAGCCCCAAAGGTTTCACTCACTGTTGAAGGCTGGAAATGAGGATGCTGAAGCAGCAACATTACTGAGTTACCACATCCGGCCCAGACTTTCATAATAAACATACTCACGTTTAACACAACGAGTGTAGGCTAGGAATACTTTAAAAATCATAGAATTTTTCTATTTCAATTTAATTCTTAAAGATGTTTGATGTACTTAAGTGTTCTTTTTGTTGTTCTTTTTGTGTATAAGAGTTTTTAGAAAAGCGTTATCCAGATTAAATGTATTATTATCATTAGGATTGTATGTAAATAGGTAAAGTGACACCATATCTATGATATAAAAAAGTTGGAATAAGCTTAGCAGCTACCCCTCTTAGAGAAGGCTACCAAGAAAGTAATGAAGCATCAGCAGTCCTTTTGTACACTTTACACACACTTTAATAAGCATCAGTGTCAACAACACTGTGACGCTTGAGACTTTAGTAAAACTACTGTGGTTAACCAGATACTTACATCAGCAAAGCAAAAATTTATCAGCTTATTGTTTCGTAAATTCACAAACACTGACACACATTTGTGCATGTTCCCTCATCAGCCGATGTGTTTTTGCAAGGAAAGTTGTGACATAATCCAAATGCTCACTGAAGGAGGCGTCCTTTGTCGTTTTATTTTGAAAGTGAGTCAACCACAAACTTCCGGTCTTGACGTGTCTGTAGTTGTGCAACTTTAAATTTGTTTTTGTGATGCTGAATGCAGCCAGTGGTTGGGCCCTCCTCCCACATACCCCATCCCATCAGCTGGATCCGACCTCAGGCTGGACATTCTGCTGGAGACTAAATTAACGAGAGTTTACAGATTTTCCAACTTAGGCTCTCATCAGAAAAAGACTTAATAAGAGATTAAAGTCTCATCTTAAAGAGTTTATATATGATTAAGAGGAGGCAGCTCAGATGGACTGATTGCCCTCTAAAGCCCTGTGTGACAGATATGTCCAACATTTCTAAGAATGGTGCTCTTAGAAATCTTATAATCCAATAGTCTCGGCTTTTGTTTGTGGAGTTTTACACATTTTCCATTAAACAAAACAAATTAAAAACCTTATCCAGGATAAACAGAAAACCCGGAGACACAAAGATGCAATCTTTCCCTCGAAGATTTATGAAGCTTTGGGGTTTAGAAATGTTGTTTTTCTCATGCACAACGGAAACATTGCCTCAGGCTAATGTTAAAAGCTGAATGCTTTGACAAGAATTCGGGCTGCTGCTTTGTTTCAGCAGCTATCACTCTCAATCAGTAATTTGGAGCTGCCTCAGACTCCAAAGCTTGTCCATCTGAGAGAAAGGGTGGAACAATTACAACGTTGTGTTGACCTCAGACCTGTTGAGCCAAAGCGTCTTCACGAAAAGATGTCTTGTTTATCCAGTGGAGAACGGGGCTTCCATCAGAAGCTTTACTGAGAGATCAAGAGCAGCTTTGACTTGTAACATCAAAGAATACACAGGATAGCTTCAATTCCAGCCTGTCACAGAAAATAATAGTTCTACATGAGACAATGGCCTCTGCAAAAGAGCGTCTAGCTGAGCTTGTTTGACCAGTTTCTGGAATACATTAGACTGAATCAAGATACCCAACCTAGATCAAAGTCAACATCAATGTTCAATCATGCTTCTATTTGTATGCGTGTGCACAGGAAGGGAACAGAGTCACAATTCAGAGAAAAATGTAGAAGTTTGCTGCAAATCCCTTCACCACCTGTGGATCTGGTTGCTAACGTGGAACAGTGAATTCAACAAGAAGCAACTTTGATTGTGAAAAATGCTCTGACACATTCTGTGGCCTTTTTTTGGACCCTCACCAAAAACGATCTGACAGCTTACAGGAAATGCTGCAACAATGGATCTTTAATCCGCAGACGCAAGCACCTCCAGAGGCCAAAAAGCTCTAAATTTGTCAACTTTTTCACCTTTAATGACTCATGCCACGTGTGCTGCTGGCGGTTTAAGATCTTCAGTTCAATTAAACGTATATATTTACAAAGCAACTGGCAGGATCTTGTCAAGATCCCGCCAGTTTCCACGTCTGGTTCTCCTCTGTGGGCTTTGGATGTGGCTCCCTGCATTCCTGGCTGGCTTTCTGGCATAGCCGTGGCTAATTTTCACATTACCTAGGCTGTATATACTCAGCAGTTTGATCTTTACACATTTCCAGATCCCTTTATTCACCTGAGGGAATGCCTGCTCCAGCCTGTTGCTGCCGGGACTCGTCACTCTCCTGACAACCTGCCCGCTCACCTGCCAGGCTTTTTTTTGCCATCAAGGCCTCAGAGTCTGGTGGCTGAAGCGCTGATGTCTTTGCATTCCCTCTACATCTTTGTAAATAAAACCAACCTCCTGCCACGATATGGATCACCCATTCGGCTCAAGACCTCTCAGGTGAGCCCTGAGAGTCCATCAAAGAGCAATTACGGCTAAGAAGCTTAAAAGAGAAGATGGCCACACCTATGATTTGCACAGCTCCAATTACACACAAGAAAAAACACAATGGAACTGGTTTTAAAAATTAGAATAAACATTTGTATTTACTGTTTGCGTTATAATTGTTGGCACTAGGTGTTGGTCCATTTTCTTAAGTTAAGCCACAGGCTCATTTTGACCACACAACAATCTAAATGTAAATACCAGTTGAGACCGCAGATTACTTCAGTAAGACAATAATAGCTGTAATAATCTCATTAGAAACAAAACTGAGTCACCAAGAAGCACACACACCAGCACCCCCAAATACTCACACCACTGGGTGTGATGAGAGGCTGTGCGTGAAGCACTGGTCCACCCTGTCATTGTGTAGGAGCACTCACTCAGTTTGGAGTGGGAACGAGAGATTTCTGTCAAATTGGGGATGACCAGGAATGAGCTAAATGCCATTTACACCCTGGAAGAGGAAATGGATGTGGTGGAGAAAAACAAAAAATAGAATTCTGTGACAATACTGCAGACCCTGTCCCAGGAGCTAATGTTCCTAAAACAAATGTGGCTTATATTATTCCACTATAAGAAAAAAATGTACAGGAGATCATCCCTGACCACAGCAACAGTCGCTCAATGCGATTAGATTATATTCTGTCTAATGAATGAATAAAGAAAACTTAAGTACCTTCTGTTTACGCTGCTACAGTAAATGAATTAGAATTCTGATGAACCATTCATTTTCTTTGCTCACCTAATCCAATTCAGAGATGTTTAGGAAGCTGGAGCCTATCATGGCAGCCATCATGCAGAAGGCATGCTACATCCTTGGGGTGTCAGCAGGTCATCACAGGGTCACACAATTTCAAATTAGACAAAAGACATGCACTAGCACACACACGATAAGTTTAAATTCAAAATATACCTAAACCTTTCTGGACAAACAGGAGCAGGCTGACGTACCCAGAGTGAACCCAAAGAAAAATAACATACAACCACCCAGAAAGGCCAAGGCCGGGATTCAAACTAGGAACCCTTCTGTTCTGAAGCAAGAGTCCTATCCGTTTATCTATCTCTATTCAATTCAGTTTGCCCTCTTCAGGAAACTGCCTTGACCCCCCACTTTTTGTAATAAGTTCTTGTTAATCAATTAGTGTATTTAGCTTTGAACTGAATAGCCTAAATCTGACTAAGTAACCATGGAAATACAGTTGTGTCATAAATAAAGATCTTACATTACAAGTTCATGCACTTACGAAAAGGTGCAAGGCTTTGCGGCTTGGGGTGCCTGGTCTATCAGGACATGCCATTTTATATATTTCTCAGGAAAACAAAATAGATACACAAAAAACTAACTGAAATGATGAATTGTTCTGATCTTTCAGGAGGAATCCACAGCATCAGTGGCCGCCAGGAGGCATTAGATGATCCGGACACATGGTGGGGTAGGTTTATGGAAAGCATGGTCTGCATGGTTTGGTTGTTGGAGTCCAAATAGGCATCAAGGGGAAGGTTGTTTTAAAGTTAGAACTAGTCTTTCGTTAGCAATTAAGGAGGCAGTGTATATCTAAAAATCAGAAAATTAAACAGACTTTCATCACATAAAAATGTTTAAAGAAGGAAAAAACAAACAAGTTGCAAAATATGTGTAATATTTTGTGTAAGTAAGACACAAAAAGAAAATTGAGAAAAATCCTGAAAAACATCATCTGTGACTCAAAACTACATCAGGAGAAACAGAGACAATAAAACCATGAACATTTTTTTTAAATCAGAGAGGACAAATGCATGGCATCTGCAAGATAAATTTAGAATTCAAAACAAAACCTGTACTAAGGAAGATTCAGTTGTTGAGATGGTTTCAAATCCTTTACAATTCTTTACTATTCCCTATTAAAAAGGTTTGTGTACCTGTTGCCAATCTGATCTGAGTCAGTGACGTTAAGGTGCCAATGCGTTAAATGGAACAATAACAAATTAAGAAAAAAAGAAAAAAAAGAAAACTTCGTTTGTGGCTGAAAATACGGTTCATGTACATGAAAACTACATTTCCCACAATGCAGAGTACATCCTAGTTGAAAGGTCAAATACTTCAAACCTATATTTTGAAATCGGAGCAGAACAGCACCAAACAACAGTTAGCCAAACGTTTCTTTGGAAACTGTAAACGTAATTGAATAAGCTCATTTTGTCTGTGTTGGTCCTGTAGTTTGTTCTCAGAAATGTCCGGAAAGGCAAAAGAAATCCTACAGCTGGACCTGTATGGTTTACTCGGTATTGAAGGCACTGCTACAACGAAAGAGGTTAGCAAATGATTTTGCTATTAAAAGTTAACACATTTGATATCAGCATAGGCCAAAGTGGAGACTGTGATTTTAGCAAGGTGCCAAACTGGGTCTATAAAAGATAAAATCTGTATTTGGAGGACATTTTTGCCCTCAAGCAGAATGCTATTGTAGCATGCTACCATGAAGCTTTTGTCAATTTGTTTTATTTTCTTTACCAGTGACATAAAGTTACTCCAAATGTATCTGATTGATTAGGTTAGCAAAGTGTCTTTCTAAACAGAGGTATCTTTGAATCTCAACATTGCCTCAGAACAAGTAAAGCTCATAAAAGAGACAAATTAGCTAAACCACACAGTTGTAATACACCAGCATGGCCACCTGGGGGAGACGTTGCACCAAGATGCCACTCGGGTGTTAAACAGTTACAAAAAATGCTCTGAGCAAGAAAGTAGATTTTGAATATGTTACCAATGAAAACGGCATATATGTGAATTTTGTTATTCTATATGCCCTTCCGGTCAATAATGATTTTCTTCTAATATCAAACTAACACAACTGATACATTTCAGGGGAGAATAGTATATTTTCATTTTCATGAGGTGGTGTTATTATCTTACAGACACCGTTAACAATAAATTTTATGTGTATGGTAATCTATACTTGGTCAACCCAGAATATTGCTTAAATCCTGTTTTTGCATGCATAGACTTTCAGTCCACTTCAACTTCTTCCTTTTCCTCCGTGTTTTATTTCCCAGCCTAAAGCGACCGGAGTCCTTTCTTTTTTCCAGCGTCTCCATCCATAACCCACGGCTGTAAAGGGGAATTAAAGTTGCTGCCAAAATGAGGGAAGAAGTTAATTTCTTAATTGGATTTCAAAGTGTTCTCTTCCCCAGAAGATTATCCTTGAGGAAGTAAGCGGTTGTGGCTTGGGCAGAATTGAGGCTCCAGAATGGAGAGGGCTGGCTCTGTGAGGTCTGTCGATGGTTGAGGGAGATAGCGGGTTCTTGTGTATGTCTATTGCATTAAGTAAAAGGAAGGGGCCTCAGAAATCAATCATATGTGTGGACACAGTTGTCATCATATAGGCCATGTATCCCGGTTGTTTGGCCCGCTGTCGTGTCACCACTTCCCGGCGTGTTTATCACGAGGAAGGGGAAGAAGCTCATCCCAGAGCCTGTTTATGTGGGCTTTGCCACAGCTTGTAAAACATCGCTTTGACGTAGGGATTCAGCATTTTGCGTATGTCTTCCCGGGTCTATAAAACATGTCTTTCTATTATCGCCGCTTTTGACCTTCCCCAGTGTTTTGCTGGCTCAGAAATGCTGGGAAAACGGGCATGTCAGAGCTTATGATTTAATGGCTGCTGATGACTGGGGTTTGCTTTATAGTAGTGCTAAGGGGGAATTTCACTGAGGGCTAGCCACCAGAGTTGTACCTACCACAGATTGCTTGGTAAAACAATGTCAACAGCCAAGACCACACAAATTTTCTTGCGGTTTCGTCAGCCACTTCACTGTTAATATACCCACTACCTAATGCGAGGCAGTATTCAGAAACAGCTTGATTTTTATTGCAGACATGGCATACAAGTGCACCGGGCTGCTGCAGACGCATTGTGGTCAAAGGGGAGTCGCACCTTTGCTCGGTTGGATTAAGACTGTTGCATCAAGCCGTGCACTGAGGAGCAGAACCAGAGAGGCAATGATGCCAACTGGTCTGACATAAATATAATCATAATTTCTGTTCAGCACACTTACCTGCGATCCAGTTTATGTAAGACAAGCTATTAAAGTAGTGGAATGCAATATTCACAATGCCTCATTTTTTATTTACACCTCTTTCTGTTTTCCTCTTTAAAATTTGATGATTCTCTGTTCATATATATATATATATTATATATATATTTTTTTAATATATATATTTTTTTCACCGCTCTCCTACTTCTATCTGCATCTCCCCGGTGTTGCCTGGTGTTCCCCTCCCCCTCCTGATAATGTTCAGTAATAGTGTAATATTGTAATTAAGGAGGATGAGCCCATGGCAGATCAGGCAGCTTATCAATCTCTCAGGCTAGGGGCTCTGCTGAGGGTGTGCTGTGGCTGTACCAGGACCAGTTTGTCAGAGATAATTAGCATCAAAGCCCGGTAATGAGGACAAGATGTGGGCATGCAGTTACGACTGGGGCAAGCAGGGATCAGAAAGGCACGGAGAATCTGTTTTCACCAAGAGCCAGCCATTGAGCTACTGTTTGTCTGCTGCTGCTGCAGGACCAGGGCTCCAGGCCCCCCCCATCCACACACCCTGCTTTCAGTTCACTGTATTATGTTTGAGATCTAAAATTGGGACGTGAATAATTCAGAAGAGTTTTCTCTCTAGGTTGAACTAATTCAGTTTTAATTGCAGTTCTAGGTTCTGTAAGAAGACGCGTGTCTCTCTGTCTAGTTCAGATGTTTAGTTGGGTTGTGGTGACTCTGGTGCTTCCAGCCTCAATCAAAGCCAGTGTGTAGGGCTAAGACGATACGTGGCAGCATGTCTATTATTCGTGCGCGTAACCTCTATGATGAGAAGCTGCTGTCAGACAGACTGAAAATAGGAAATTCTTGCTCAAACTAGACGTGGGGACATTTTAGTTTCAGTCAGTCCGATGTATTTAATAAGAAAGATAAGTGTAATGTCTTGGAAAATACTGGGTTTTCTAATAACATTAATGATAATAATAATAATTATTGTTGTTGTTATTAATTTTGTATTAGTTAACCTTTAGTTAAGCTCACATACATTCATCTGTACAATGAACTGTTACATTCAGTTGTTGACACTTTATTTTTGAGTCTCTCTACTTTAAGTGTAAGGAAAGCTTGTTTTCTTACATTTCTAGAATTGAAATAAAACATTCAACTAGAGATGTGCAAAAATAATATAGAACTCCTCGGTGGGCGATTTCTGTTATAACTAAAGCAAGGATTTTATTGTCAGTTGTTTACTTATTTTTTGAAAAGTAATGAAAATAACTTCTTGATGGAGGAAAGCAAAAAAAAAGTAGACTTTTTTTGACCGGGATGTCCATGACCAATGTGTCCTCTTTGAAAGTCTGAGGAATGTTTTCACCCAGAGCCTCAAACATCGTCCACTTCTATCTTAAAAAAGTGCTTTTTCAGAGAAAGCTTTGATGGGTTTTGTGTACAATAGAGAAGGAAAAGGAGAGCCGGGAGGGGAAATAGGCTCAGCCAATCATACGTATTTGGCTCCCTTCCACAGTCCTGCGTGTCAGACTGGATTTCTGGAGGGGTTCTGTTAGCCAAGCAAAAAGACTAAATACCCCTTAATGATGTGTAGTCTCCCCCAGCACTCCAGATGAACCAAACCAGTCGTTTACATTTGCAACCGTAATTACCAGCAAAAAAACAACAAAAAAAATCAGTTTGGATGAAAATTTGAAATGGAGACGTTTAGGAGCTTTCTGACCCCAAAACAATCTGTATGGAGGCTCGCTGTCATCCGACCGCCCGGAGGCTTAGAGGGCATCCAGCCTAATGAGTGTCGGTTGTCTGGCGCTGACACTCGCTCAGACTGTGGTTTTTAAGGCCCGACCCCTCACAGATTACACCATCCTGCCCGGCCTGAGTCTGATGCGTGTGCTTTGGCTTGCACTTTAAAGGTGAAAATTGTGCTAAACGACCGACTGGGAAATGTTGCAAATGCCACAAGACAAACAGAAATGTTTCCCAGACCTGAAGGAAGGTGTTCCCGCGGACGTGTGTGTGTGCGTGTGTGTATGTGTGTGTGTGGGGGTGTGGGGGGGATTCGGGTGCCAGCGCGTCCTGTGTTTTTTAGGTTGCGTGCAGAAAGCTTCAGCCCGGCACTCTACAGCCCCCTCTGGTCTTTATGGAAACTTTTCCTGCTTCCTCTTCTTTCATCAAAGAAACAGGCACCTAATGAAAACCACCTTCTCATTAACCAGTCCCTAGAAGGGCCAGCGATTGGTCAAATCTCCAAGAAGTGACCCAGAGAGAAAAAAAACTCATCGGTAAAGAGCAGCTCGTATGACATTAGAATATTCCATAATATTGGCTCGTATTTCTGCTTTTGGCCCGCTGAGCTCTCCAAAGATCTCGACTGCCAGGCTGAGATATTATTAAGTGTGATATTATAACTTTTCGTGACATCTTTACCGAATTATATCAAATAAAGACGGATAATGCTCTGTGTCAACTCGTGCCACATTTATCACAGAACTGGGCAATGGGCCGGACAGCAGAGACTCCGCTGTTCACTTTGTGCCTCAGAGACTGTTACAAAAGGCACGAGGAGCAGCTCATGTGTCGACTTCAATCTCACAGTACAGCCCAGATGCAGATTGACTTAATTATTTATACTCATATTTGTAAGGGAGCTGTCAGTTTTTACAAGTTCACAAAGACTACCTGTGCAAATTCTGTGCTTTTTGTTCTTTATTCTTTGTCTGTCTGTGCATATCAGCTATTTTTGCTGTTCATAAGATAGTTTTTTAAAATCTTTTCTGCTCTCTTTTCAGATCAAGAAAGCCTACAGACAGAAGGCATTGACGTGCCACCCAGACAAGAACCCAGACAACCCTAAAGCAGGTTAGTCAGCTTGTTGTTTTTGCTTTACCCCTCCTATTGTCTTTCTACCACACACTTTTTGTCCTCCTCAGGCAGATTGACATTCATATTGACCTATTTTGACTGTTTTATAAAGCATTAAGTGAACCATGATTACATAACTCTGTTACAGCTTTTATTTATCTTGTTTCCAACACCTAACCACAAATGTAACTATTTTTTAAATCTAATTCATAGTATTGTAGACCACATTTCTTAAAATTGACTATATTTTGGGTTAGAGGGACACATGTTCATGCATTGTGTTCAAGTTTAGACATTTATTCCCGTTTTTTTCTTTTTAATGGCAGCAAAAAGAGAATTGAACTGAACCTTCTATGCAATGTATTTTTTCATGTGCTAAAAAATCTAATGTTATGACCTATTATATTTTGAAACGGGTCAAACAGATCGGAAGACAACTGGAGGGTTATTGGTCTTTTTTGTTCACCCTGTTAACATTCTGACCAACAGACCTCAGTCATTGTTCCAAACAATTATTTTTAACCATCTAGCAAATCAAGTTCCAGGACAAAAAAGAGATCCTCCAGATTGAATTGAGTACTGCCAGGCTGTGTAGCCTCACTCTCCATCACAATGCTAACTGGGGCGCATTTCTAGCCTGACAAGTCCCTCCGGACATCACCAGTTACTCTCCAGCCGGCTTTAGTTCTGCAGCCTGGTGCCAAACAGTATGTCAACAATTAGACCAGGAAGTTTCAGTGTAGTTTTTTTGTACTTGGACAAACGGCTGGTCATGAGGTATGTTTTTAAGTGAGGTTCATGCGGTTGTTGGATGGTACGGACAATTCCTACTTTTGTAAGGGGAAAAAAAAAACAAAACTTGGAATTGGTTCGGTTGGGCGTTCGGGATAATACAAAAGCAGGGGGTCGGTTTCCCAGAAATGGAAACGAGGTGGTTTGGAGGGCCTCAGCACTTGAGACAGAACGGGTCTCCATTGCACGAGAGCAGAGCAATTTGGGGAGTCGGTGCACCTCCTAGTGGAAGCTTGCATGCATATGAGGTGATTTAGGGGTCATGGATTGACTGGAGCTAGCCTCTACTATAGGTCATTTTCCATCAGGCCACTGAATTTCGTCCCAGTTCAGTATAACTGTGTAGGTAACCTGACTTCCTTTGCAGGCAGCTGGATGCTAAACTGCAAAAAGTTTTTTTGAATTGGTGAAATGCTCACTTTTCTTTGTTTTTTGGGTTTTACAGCGGAGCTTTTTCACCAGCTGTCCCAGGCCCTAGAGGTGCTAGCTGATGCTGCTGCGAGGGTAAGACCCACAACGTGTGTTAGCCCATGAAAGCGGTCCTAATACCCACACAAAGCAGGAGGATGTTCATTCTAAGGACCAATCTTCTTACAGGCGGCCTATGACAAGATTTGTGCAGCTAAGAAACAAGCAGAAGAAAGAAACAAGAAACTAGATGATAAGAGAAAGAAAATTAAGCTTGGTGAGTCTTTTTCCAAATCTCTCTAAGGGGACAGCTTATTGAATTACTTAGATCTGGTCTTCTTGCACAAATATTTTGATAAAATCCAATTTCTTATTTTTACAAAATTATTTTAACAAATCGAGTGAATTGCATACATTTTTGATAGGACTACTTTGATAAAATTACTTTATTTACTCGGTTTTGTTTGTTTCAGCACAAAATGTTACATATGAACAAATGTAGGAGGTAAATGTTTGTGTATTTTTGATAGATTTGGAGGCCAGAGAGCGACGAGCAGAAGCTCAGAGCCAGGAGGAGGTGCAAATCACTAGAACGCTTGAAGAGGAGGTAAGAAAATCTCAAACGAAAGACAGCACTGCACCCTGGAAATGATGCAGAGAAGGAAAAAGGCCCCCGATATTTACCTGCCTCAGAGACATCCTGGAAAGTAGCTTTCTGAAGCACTGAGTAAGCAAAGGAGTTTCTTTTTTTCTTGTTTTTGGTCAAAAACTTGCATTGAGTTAGAAATTTCCAGAGACTTGGGTCTGGATAAAAGGCTTGAACATGGAGAACTTTTTATTACCAGCATGTCAAACTGATCAGTAAGCCCATTAGGTGATATTGCATGACTTTGTGGAGAACATCAGTGCTAAATTAAAGCGGTATGTAATTCCACCATGAGTCATGGCAAATGCTTAATGTGTTTAGTGCATCTAAATATGGGGTGTTTCACCATGGACAGAGGAGGCAACCAATGGGTTGCATTGTTCCATTTTTATGTCTCCATTAAGGTTTTTATTACCTTTAGTGATGATATAAGGCGGTTTGGGCTTTCCTGTAAACATAAATAGGACAGGAAGAATGATACAACCGATATATTTTTAGTATGCTATACGATAATTTGTGGTGTTGGTGAGCATTACTGTATTTCATGTGCGTCTCTCTTCCTGAAAGATTGCCCGCTTGAGAGAGGAGGGATCCAGGCAGCTTGAAGAAGAACAGAGGCTCATCAGAGAACAGATCCAGAGAGAAAGAGAATCGCAGCAACAGACAGGAAACAACGGTCAGAAATGTACGTCTACTTCCAGGATTTAACCATCAACAGACTGTGCAAGTCTGGGTTAACCAAGCCAATTTTAGTGTAGTCATGCACTGCCACGATGAATCCAGTTTGATCCTTTTGAGTCTTTTTACTGTCCTGAAACCTCCGTTGAGTGAGCTTCCATGCTTCCTAGTCATCATACTGTCAGTCCAACCACAGCAGCCACCAGGCACCCTGCGGTTCATCAAATATGGTTCAAGTAATGAACACTAACATTAGCTGAACTTGTATGAGAGGAGGTCTATTTTAGCTTCTTGGCACTGGCCGAACTTGGCAAAGAAGCACAGGAATGCCAAGCATCACACACGCAAGCATATATGTACATCAAACTTTTAACCTCGTTATGAAACTTTTTCAGTAAAAAGCAATAGAGTCTCATGGAGCAGTAAAGTAACTTGGCCCCTTTTTGTGGCTGAACAATTACTCAATCGCAGTCAGCACATACTTGGAGCCTCTTCTGTTTACACGCATGCTGCTCTCCCTTGTTCGGGACTCTGTCTCCAAGAGCCATACATTTACCACAAGACAACCGTTTTTGAATTGCAGCCCACCTCCATGTGTCCTTTGCCTGCTCTCTTAAGTACCATATTTAAAAAAAACAAACAGTGGTTTCTTTGTCTTCTCGCTTCTTTGTCTCAACTCCTTCTCGTTCTTTCTTTCAGACTCAGGAGTGGAGCGATGTTATGAGAGCAATGCAACCCCCAAACTCAAGGTAAGGCTCACAGCTATGGGGTTTAAATCATTGGACAGGCCTGTGAGGGGGAGGTCATGGTCAGGGCTGCAGTCGTTGGAGAAGAAAATGGGGGTCCCGGCATAGTCGGGAGAGATAGTCCAGCTGAGTGAAATCCCAGGCAGAAAGTCAGTGGGAGTTCGATCAAACCTTTAGCCGTTTTTAATTTATTGTTCGGAGACCACATATGCTGTCTAACCACATGATTCTCCAATGCTCGCTCCTCACGACGTTGCATGCAGACCAGTGTCCAAGGTCAGGGCGAGGCTTATTTCATTTCCCCCTCGAAATGGATGGTCCTGTTTATAGTGGTGTTATTTAATATTTGTTAATTATGGTTTTGAAATTTGCTTACCATCTAGTAAAGCAGGATACTCCCAAAAATGTGTGTATTTGATTAGAAAAACAAGCAGTATTACAAATCCACTGAGCTGGTCATGTTGGGAATTCGAATTCACTGTACAAGCAAAAATCGTCAATAGTTTTATAGATATCCAGCTTATACAAAATATAGATCTGAATCAGTTGTCTACCTCTATTCGTGGAGGAAGCGGCTTTTTTAAAGATTTATTTGTAAAAGGTACACCCTTTCTCGTTTTTTCTTCCTCCAAAGAGTCAGGCTCTCCTTTCATATTTTACAATGCCTTTGATCAGTAATGTTCTGGGCTTTTTGAAGATTTTCTTTGGAACAGGACCACTTTTTCACTGATTTTTGGTCCAACACTTGTGTTTTGTGTTTTAAACCTCTTAAGACCTCTGGATCATGAAAGCACATAAAGGACACTGAGTGAGCAGGTGTTCCATCTACACAGTGCAGGCAGCTTAGCAAAGAGCCGCTCTTATAATCTGAAGTCTGTAAAAGAACCACATGGATAGAACACTTTGATAACATAAGAAGAATTTAGAAAATATTTAGTTGTTGGAAAACTGATCTCTGCATTGTGTGAAAATGGATTTGAAAAAGTTGGAGCACTTTTCCTTAAAGTTAATTTGTGAAATAGAAGTATTCATACATAATAGCTACTTTCAAGCTTCCAGGATGTGCAAACTTTGTGTTACATTATTTGTTTTGGTAGCAATTTGCAAGGAAACTCAGGATTTTTGCTTCAAAATCGAATCGTTAGGTGTTTAATGTTGAATTTGATTTTTAGTAACTCACGTCTTGATGTTGAACTCATGTCTCACATCTTGTTGAATGATCTTTTAAAACTGCTGTGATCACTGGCTTCCTGAAATATGTTTTTAAAATATATTTCAGCCTGGCCTGGAGACTGGGACCCAACTTTCAGTGCCAGTTCTGTGGGCTGAAGCCATTAACATCAACTCGAACAAATACTCGCAAATCTTGTTCGAAGATGAATTGATAAGACAGTTATCAGTGGCCGGAGCGCACCGCACATTTTCTGCAGTAATTACTGGTAACAGATATTATGTAGACGTGAATGTTCCCAGAAATGCCGTGTCTCTGACAGGGAGCAGAATGTTGGGTCTGACCCAACGTGCAGTGTTTGCCATTTATTATATTACCCTCAGTAGTTGCAGTGAAATTGTCTGGATCCAGCTGCGGTTTGCTGATGGACATGAGAAGTTACTCAAAATCTCCTTTTAGCTGTACGGGAACTCGCATCAGCATTTAATGGCAAGACCGGAGGCTGAGTGGATGCTGTGATAAATCCTGTTTCGCTTTGTGAAGGTTACATTTATGCCCCAAAAATGTTCTGCTGTCGTTTCCGTATCAGTAGAAAAAGGTTTGTAAAGACTGCCTGGCGTCATGCTGAAAAGGAGGATCCCCCCCCCCCCGTTTCTTCCCACGGCACTTCGGACATCAACCTGCCTTAGATTATTTAATAATTAGCTTGTTTTGTGTTCAGTTTTTTTTGTCTCAGTGAAGCAGGTGAGTCACTGTGCATTCCCTGGTGCACAGGTCCATGTGTTACTTTTCAACCATTTGCCCAGCACCCTTGCAGGGAGTGGAAATTAACTGCAGGTCTTGCAGGTGGTTCCATGGTGATGTTCCAAGAGCTTAACAAGTAATTTCTCCTGTAGCTCCAGCCTGTCTCGGTGGTTTTTAGCAAACTGTGTCTCATCAGAGCCAATTCTATCTGGCACACTTTGCCTCCTCTGCAGCTGAGTTTAATCAGTTGTGCTCCAAAGATTAGACAATATCAAGATCTTCTTATGTTCTTTAAAGCACTAACATTGTCTCTCTTTTTTTTCCCGTTTCTGTTTGTTTCTTGCAGTTGAAGTGGAAGTGTAAAAAAGACGACGAGTTGAATGGAGGCTACACTGAAGACGTTCTTATTAAACTACTACAAAAGGTGAGCTTGGTGCTTTGAGACATGGTTCAATGAGCAAAACAGTTTGGATGGGTGTGTTTTTGAGTGGGCTTTTACTTCTTAAGTCATATTTCCAGGATCGCTCTTATTGCTGTCCTCATTGTCCCGGGGCAGAGCTTCATTATAACAAACCTGCCTGCCGAGTCCAGCCATATTTGAGGGCTTAATAACATCAGGCCTGTAGATTGTTTACTCTTCCCCTTAAACAAGGCCCATTAAGTTTTGTAGCGGTGAAAGTGCTGAGGGCGATGTTGTAGTGCCCTTTTAAAAGCCATGCAGAGCATTGTTTGTGCCCTCTTACCAGGTGATTAAGCAGTGCCAAAGCAGGCACTTAAAAATATGCTCTTCTCATGCAACCAACTACCACCTTCTGTCATGATCTGTCACAGGGGCTTTTGGTGGGGTGCAACTTGGCCTGAAATGAGGTCAAGTGTCAGCGATGTCTAATGAGCAGTTTATCAGATGTACGCATCAGTTTGCTTAGAGGGAGTGTAAACTGTGCGAATAAATAGTTTTCCTGTTTTTAATTCGAAAGGAAAGGGAGTACATAAAAAAACAAAACAAAAAAAAACACGTTTGAGATGGCCGTGCTCTGTGAGTGACAGTTAATGGTTTGGGTAAGCAGAAATAGCCACCGCTGTGTGGGAAAAGGAGTACGTCCATGCGTGCCTGTGTACGCGTACGTGTTTGGACTTTATGTACTTTGGCTTCTTTAAATAATAAATCTTTTTGAAATGGATAAAAATATGTTAAGATATTTATATTTGATGAAATACAAGCCTTTTGAGAGTCTCCTTTGTCACTGTTGGCTGGCTCCAGAGTGTCCTCAGAAAGCGTGAGCATTCCTGGACTCTCCAGTTCCCAGAAAGCTACATTTTTCACGAGTGAGTTTATGAAGGGCCACTTCTCTCCTACTCTTTTTTTTTTTCCCAACCACAGCTTAAGCTGAGAACAGGTCGGCCTTTACCTTCCGTTGATGTTTGCGATGTGTTTTTTTTTCACGTTACAAAAAAATGTAATTAAAATAATGGCTTCCCTTTTTTTCTCCCTCTATCTTTTGAAATAGTCCATAGTTGTTGTTGTTTTTACATGGTGTTATGTTATTATTCTTTATAATATAACTGTAAAGAAACCCCTATATTAATCTCACCCATTACAGCCAAATGAGTACTGAACCCTAACTTGTATTTCAGGAGTGTGTTGCATTCACCAGTGTTTTGAGCTTTTTGGGTCTGCATGTGCTTTCTGTTTTCACGGTTATGGATTGTTCTGTGAAAGGAAATACTAATTCAAATGTTCTGCGTCTTTCCTTTTCTCCCACTCCCCGTCCTTCCTTTTTTTCCTTCCCTCTGATGTCTTTTAGTACGGGGATGTTTTGAATGTGATTGTATCGAGTAAGAAGAAAGGAAGCGCTGTGGTAGAGTTTGCAACTGTGAAAGCAGCTGTAAGTAGATCACTCATGTGTCCGCATCCTGCTTTTGGAATCGTAAATTCTCCAACGGAGACAGTTGGTTGGAACCACTTTTGTTTACCACTTGTTCAAAATTTGAAGCCACTTGCTGCGTTTGATTATTTCTAAGAATGACACCAGTCATAGACTTCCGAGCCTGAAGACAGTCTTTGACCTGAACGGATGTTTTAGTCATTTTGTGCCGCGAAGAACTCACCGCTGCTTTGAACCACTGGATTGAAGAACTTGAGTCATTGTTCCTCAGCGTCTGGCTCCTCAGGCTCTATGTCATGATGGTGCACTTTTTTATTTTTTTATTATTTTGAATTGTGGTTTTCTCTCACCACAACATGTGGTTTCCCTTCAAAAAACATTTATGCCAGTCTGCTAGTGCTAGGCTCTGGGCACTGGTTCTGCCATCTTTTTTTAGTTTATTTCAACCAACAAAGATCCGGTTATTTATTTATTTTTTTCCATTTTATTTGTGCATCAATTCAGCTGGAGACCCACAAAATGAAACCAGCTCGTGCCTCAGACTAGCATTTGAAACTTGGTTTTATTTATTCATTACTTTTTTTTTTGGTACATAAGAATTAAAAAGAAAAAAAAAGATGTCCTTTTTGTTTATGAACGATAACAATGTGGGGTCTTTGGAACATTTTTTCGTCCATTCAAATAGATTAAATATTTAGCAATCAGACTAAACAAAATATTTTGTGGTATTCAGAATGTGGACAGTTTAAACTTTTCTTTGTCTTGATTTGAAAATGGTCCAATTAACCATTTAAACATGCTCAAACATTTCATTGCTGATATGTTTTAGGAGCTGGCTGTTAAGAATGAAAGTGGCCTGAGTGGGAACCCACTGAAGATTTCATGGCTGGAAGGACAGCCGGAGACTTTCACCGCTGCGTCGCAGTCCGGCGTGTTCATGTCCTCACAGGTACGCGTGTGGCTCTAATAAGCATTGTAGTGATTCTGTCCTCCACTCATTCAGCTTGTCAGTCCCCAAAAATTCCCCATTAACTCTGCCTCCAACACAAACGAGGAAGGTAAACGTTCTGAGCTTTTATCATCAGTGGCTGCTGCAGTGCTTTCGCTCCCTTTTCTCTGTCCTTGAGCAGAGTGTTTGGTTAAGTGGACTTCAGTTTATTTGTTTTGGAGTGTTGAGGAGCTGGCCCAGCACTGGCCCAGATCCACTGGCTGGTCGCTCATTAACAGAAATGACCCGGGAAAACCCTGGAATGCTGCATTTCACACAGCAGCCCAGAGGAGGCAGTGTGAAACAACGCTGGACTTCCCTGTGCCACCAGCTCCAGTAAATGATTTCACTGGTGCAAACTGAATATGTGTCTATTCATATTCATGAAAAAATGTACGTCTTTCTAAAGGATCATTGAGTTGTTTCTCTCTAACTTTATTTCTGCAATTAGAATTATTTTCAAATGTTCTTACTGGAGTAAGAAGTAGTTGACTTTTCAGTCTTGTTTCCCCAAAACTGCCTCTGAACTAGCTTTCACCCTGTAACCGAGTGTGTGGTATCAGACCTCCTACTTAGGGTTAGAATCTGAGACTGAGGCTGCACGCAGGGACTTGTCATACAAATCTTTTTAAATGTTATTATGGTAACCCAGTTTGCTCTACTGGTGTTCAGAGCTGATTGCTCTTTACCCCCCCCCCCCCCCCCCATAAAAACATTACTCTGTTAGGGTAATTTTCAAATGTTCCTTCGAATCAAATACTTTTCTCTAAAAAAGGCCTGGCAGCTGGCCTGGGAACCAGGGACACGAGGGGCATTTCAGAAAGGAGATGGAGATAATGGGAACCCAGACCCATGGGGGATCTCCTTCTCGGACTTTATCTGGGATCTGAAAATCCGATCCCTCCCTGGTGCCCCAGCATCAGCCAGCTGCAGTCACATAGGAGCCGAGTGGACAAGGATTTGCTTCTTTAACCTCATCAATCCAAACACATTGCTCAGCAATTTGGGGTTTTACTTTAGGGAGCATGTAGACACAGATGACTTCAGCCTCCGAGTCAGCTCCATTTCTGTTTGGCCTGACAAAAGAATCCACAGCCAGAGTAAAAGACGGCAAATGAATCAGGGGAACCAGTAAACTAATCCCCCATGAATCTGTGTGTTCGGATGTGCGATCACTCTCCCAGAAAAACCTGTTGAAGAGCTAATTCTGTTTTGATCTGCTAGTCTGAAAGAAATATATATTTCCCCTCTCCTCACATTACATAGCATGGTTATTCCTTTAGATTCTTTAGAAACACGGCCATGTCTTAATCTTGTATTATAAAAGTTCATTTGGTTAAACCTTCAGAAGAGGTATTCAGCAACTCAGTCAGAGCTAAAAAAAAGTAGCCACACTTTTTATCAAGAAACAATCCAAATCAAAAATAGTTTTAAAAAATCCTCGAGCTTTTATCGAATGACCAAATATATATGATGGACACCTTAAAAGAGATGCATAATATCAGTCATAAAAGTAAAGAACTGTGGATGTATAACCTATTCAGGCCTTCTACAGAATGTGAATTTAGAGCTGATTGCCAGTTTTGAATCAGGAAAGACATGTTCATTATTACTCCCAATGAATAACAAGAATGTTTAGAACATCTCACTTATCTGACTTAAATTGCAGGGCAACCATAGACATAATAGTGTGGCCATCTGTATGTATTCCACAGAGTCTGACTCAAAATTGATAAAATTCCTTTACTGTGACAGATATGGACTCCCTATCTGCCCGTCTGCTTTGGCCTTACCAGTGTTTGCTGGTGGTTTACGCTGTAGTTTAACGCACCACATTTTTAAAGCCACTCCATCACAAAGGAATTGAATCGGAGCTTTCTATTCCTGCCTCTTCTGTGTAGAGCCATGGCCGGGTTGTCACGACACAAACCAGATGCAACAGATCAGCTATTCGTGGATTGTTTTTCCAGTCTGCTGGTTTGCTTATGCTAAAAAAGCGAACTCCCGCCAAAAATATCCCTTGTGTCTGGACACGTTGCCATGTATGCGGCCATGCTTTGAACCACTCTCTGATTTGAGAAAAAATGGCTGTTTGGGATAGAGAAGATCCGCTTTGTCACTTTTATCATTTACTTTGTTGTGCTTTGATGCCTAAGGTTGTTTTTCATATTGCTTTTGATTTTAAATGAACAGTGGCCACATGCACATTTTACCACCGTGTTGCTGGATCTGAATGTTCTCCTTTAAAAACGAGCATCAGTAATCTAAAACCTGTTCAAAAGTTGTATAACTGTCCCAATATCTTTTTTTGGTGGTTTGTTTTTTAAAAAAACTGGCTGTATACGTGAACCTGTTGGACATGCCCATTTAATTTAGGCTTGTGTGTCTCTCCACTTAGACCTAATATTGTTCTGCTTGTCGTGTTGGACTGTCCAAGACTATAATTTATCTAAAAACCGGTTGATAAAGTGACAGTCGGGGTTCGCCTTTCCCCATTTTGGCATCCATCAGGGTGTGTAAACAGTTGCATGCGGTTTATCCACAAAACCACTTCATCCTAGAATTTGAATGATGCATGTTCTCCTTTTATTTACCCAAAATACAAAATTGTACACTTTTCAATACAAAGACCTTTCACAATGCGCCATTGTCATAACATACACAGGAAACGGAGATATCAAGTTTAAAATTGGAGATGCCTAGACATACAATGCAGATGTACCCACAAACATTGTGTTTTTTTTCTGTTTGGACATGCATAGAATTCTAAATCCACTCCTTGAATTGGGAAGCTTGTGGTTTTCGCATTTCTGCAGCATCAGCAACCCATCACGCGCTGTTATGATTGTGTCCTGACCTGAGAAAAGTGGACTTAGGTTACCTTCAGCATTCCCTGCTGTCGCCGAGGATGCGGGCAGACGTGCACGCCGCTCCGCGCTCCTTCCCGCCACCGTGCCGGTGTTTGTGAGATGCAGCCCGTCTGTGTCTCGTGTCAGGGGTCTGTTTGCTCAGAAGGTAGTGTTTAAACCCTCATCAGGAGCGCAGTAATAGATGCCTCTGGTCCTCCTCCCTCGACACCCCCCGCATATGTGGAAATATTATGTTACCCGTTACCGCTCTCCTTTCGGTGCCCCACTCACCAGAGCATCGGACTCTGATTTGCAGCTAAGAAAACAGCTTGCTCCTTCTGAGGTTTTGGACCTGTGGCCTGGCTTGGTGTGCTGCCCAACCTGCCACCACTGGCTGGCTTTTATTGGAAGCAGAGCTAAGTGTTTGTTTTCACTGTGCTGTTGGGAGCGAGAGATGGGGGGTACCTTCATCTACCTTTGAGTGGGGCCTCTGGGATGCGTGCGGAGGAAAAATTGCCCTCTGCACACAATGGATTGGCAAGAACGCCGCGAGCCAAAGACATCACGGCTCGAGGACCTTGGATTCCAGTTATATTTTTTCTTTGCTTAAAGCCCCACAATATGAAGCCCAAACAGCCATCCTTAGTGGGATTTGAAGGACTATTAGAAATGTAAAAGAACTAGAAAATGTTGAGCTTGAATCTTTATTTATTTTTAAACCCCAACAATCTACTTCTTTCTTCAAGTGATGAATTTTAGCTAAATGTTAACTTTATGATTTTTCCCCCAGTTTTTTTGTTGATCAGAGATAATGGAAGAATAGTTCTTGCTTTAGGGATGACAGTTCGTTTGCATTTCCTCTCCATCTGAAGTAAGTTTTTGGTCATCCTGCTTTTCTGATGTGTTCTTCATTTGTGTAGTTTTTCCATCACCTGCAGAACATCATCCAGGATTGAAGGGCCCAGGTCGAGGCTGAATGAAAAGCCGCTGTCCTCATCCGTCTGTCCGGTCAGAGCGTCACAGCTCTCTGTAAACTCTGCCTCCCTGTCCGAACTCACACTGCCCAGAGCTGGCCTGTGGGCCGGAACAGGGCCGCCGTTACTCTGACCTCGGCACCCCTCTTCCGCCTTTCCCTCCCCATCATCTCCTTCCTCACTGTCCAGCAGTGGCATGGAGCTGCACTTCTTCCTCTTCTGATCCACAGACCAGTCGGGGCTCCGCGTGCTGTCTGTCTCGTCCAGGTTCAAACGGGGGGGCTTCGGAGGGGGCGAACAGGCCAGAAAGAGGTTCTGCTCACTCTGGGAACTCTGAAGGAGCAGGCCGTGGCCCATCTTCAGGAAGGATAGATCTCCAAAGCTGTCTCTGTTGGCATCGTTTCCGATGTGAGAGAGGTGGCGGAAATCGCCCAGCGGTAGGCTGATCATGTTGACAGAGAGCACCTCCCTCCGCTTGTTCCTGCTGGGCCAGCGGCCGGAGGCCGGCTTTCTGTGCAGCAATGTCCTCAGTGGCATGTTGGCGGATCGGACCGGGCTTGACCTCACTCGTTGTCTCGCTTTGTATTCCCGCTGGCTTGACGTGTATCAGGAAGTGGAGAATCTCAAAAGTATGTCATCTGCATAAAGAAAAACAAAAAAAAAAGAAAAGAATGAATAAATGCTCGTATGGAGCAGCTCTATGTTTCCACTTAAAGGTTTGATGAGAAACATCGGCTGTTGTTTAAAGGCTGCACCTGTTGCATTTGATGGTGGTTAAATGAAATTCTACTTCATTTGGCAGCAGAAGATTGTTCCAATAACTCTTTGAAGCCTTCACTTATAAGTATTTACTTTCCAAATCCATGTTTCCTCTCATAAGCGCAGGTGTGGTCTGTTGCATGATCTCCAGAGGAAGTCTATTAATCTACTTAAGACTTCCAGTAACAAAAGCAAGAAAAATGCAGGTCTCCAAAAGGAAATTGTTGTCTTGCGTACAGTGTGAAGGATCTCCCCACGCTTTGTTGTGGGAGAATGGGATAGTTTTTCCCATAACTTTGTCAGAATTGTAGTTACGTATAGACCAGATGTTTACTAAAAACACCAACCATTCTACCATTTACATTCAGGAATAGGCTTTGCTTTTGGAGGCTTCTGTAACATTTGCTCATTTAATTTCCCACATATTAACGGAGCACATCTTTCTCAGGATGAAACGGTACATTAATCTTTTTGATTAAAGTAAAAAAAAAAAGAAACCTTTCGTATTCCGTGACCTGTGATCATTTTACAGGCTGAAACAGAACTCTGTTCATCAACTCAGGCATGTCGATTAGATAAATCTACTTAGCGTTTGTGATTTTAAAGTCTCCCAAACACCTCTCCCCACATTAGATCTGTGTTCGTGACTTGAAACACTCATTCTGTAAATTTGTAGGCCACTTCAGCAAACAGGTTTTGTTGGCCTGTAAAGGTTTTATCGGCACTTTAGTAGCAGCGGGAGATTGGAGAGCGTGGACGCAACAGCATTCCTTTCCAAACATGTCAGTTAAACCAAGGAGGAGTCCTAAGATTTCAGCCACGAGTGGAGTGTTGAGGAACTCCTTCGTGGCCAAGTAAAAACCGAAGAAACTCATTAAAACAGATTAGCCAAGAAAGAGTTGAAGTCGCCTTTGTTTTCAGTTGCTGTAAAAGGTGGATCTCTGAGACGCAGCCTTACCCAATGGCAGGTTAAAACCCACATATTAAAAATTGTACGAGTTTGTGCCGTTAATCTGACATGAATTCTACCAATAGTATGAGTAAATGCGGCTTTAAAACGTACCTGTCCGGAGAAAACTGGGAGAAAATGGACAACATTAAAATCCAGCACATGTAGAGCGTCTCTGTCAGGAATCTAGGCTGCTTCTACCTGCTCTCCCTGACAAGCTCCTCTTTAACATGATGAGACTTGTCAACTGTTACAGAGAGGATCGCATTACTCATCCGTGAAACAAGGAGACAAGTGAAAACAAGTTGTTTACTCCTCCACGGCTTAATATTATCACACTTTATCTAGATTAGTTGCATTTAAGACACTCCATCGCAACTAGAAAGTTATCGTTGAGGAACGTTTGCTTACTTTGCTCTGCTTCTTCCTGGATCGTTAAACTTCTCTGTCCCCCCCCCCAACAGTCCACCTTAGTGTAAAGTCCCAATTGTGCTGAGCAGAATGGTCTCCAGGTGTGTTGCTTTTCCTCTTTGTGTAAATGATAAACCAAGGGAGGTCAGAGTACAAAAGACATCCAGGTGGGGGCTTTACTTCACTTTTTATCTCAGGCTTTTCCTACTTGAAGGCATTCCGCTTTAGTTTCTTGGCCAGTCGTCCGATTAAATCATCCAGTCTGTGGACTGAGAATGCCCTTTAGTCATAGGTGTTGCCGTTAAGCCTTGCCGGTTGGTTGGCCGAGCCCTTCACCTGCAGGAGAGAGGCTGCAAAGCAGGAGTTGTTGATGTCGTCCATAGAGTTTGTTACAAAAACTGAAATGTCACGAAAGCTGAAATCACACACACCTTATTTCAAATGCGTGAGGGTGTTTGAGAGCGTGGAACGGAGAGGGGGGAAAAAAAGGTTTGCGAGCGTTCAGTGATTGTGTGATTATCTAGAAAAAAAGGAAGTCATAGTCTGTGATCTAACAGGTCAGCCACCCAGAGGAGGGGGTTAAATGATCTCTAATCTCTGTGGCATTGTCCCTCTGCTCTGCTGATTTCCTGATTTCCTGCCCGCTGTTGGCTTGTGTAAAGCCTCGCAGTCCAGCCCACTCCACAGGCTCTTCTGCCTGACTGGAGGCCTATAGCTTCTCAATGTAGGCCAATCGTGCACAGACATGTATGAGCTAGCGCAGTGGGTTTCACAAGAGAGAAGACTTGTTGCATTTCCAATTCTCACGCCTCCAGCGTGTTATCTTTGCCCGGGAATGCTGCTGCGGCACCGAGCTGTAACTGTCACAGCGGCATACCTTCCCATTCCCTCCTTTTTACTTAAGGAGTTTTGTCATGCAGGCAGCCTTCACCTCTCACTGACTCGTCCTCACCATGACTCGATTTTATTTTTGGCAGAATTAGATCAATAATCCACATCAAGTTTTTAAGAGAATAGATTACAGTCATATCAAATCATCATTCCCCCTGTGTTGCAGCTGAAAGGGGAGAGAAGGCCTTCTGCCTTTTTTACGAGCCATTCCGGTTTCTGTCAACTTTATTATGCAGGGCGTAAAGAACAAATAATATTTTCCTGCACTCCTTTCAGATTTATTCAGTAAACCCTCAGCGTGCTGCCTTTTCCTCTCCTCCTCTCCCAAGACCAGACACAATTAGTCACGCAACTGAAATTCTCACAACTTTTACCTAAGGCTGAACCAGTTCTCCTCTTAGAGGCTCTTCATTGGTCTACCTACAGCCACCAAACGGCTTTAATGGTAGACGATGATCGGCACGAAGAGCGAGCGTTTCCTGCGGTATTTAGAAATGACCTCACAAGAATTGCTGTCTGACCGAGGTTGGGCTGGCTCTGTTCGCTGTGCTCTCATGCTATGTAGCCCCTGGGTTGCTGCGTGCGTTTTGTCCTGAACTGGATTACTGTGTAAGCCTCTTTTCTAAGGCCTGACCATAGTGGGCAGTGTGGTTGGATGCAGCTATGCTGGGCCTGAAAACTGGGATGCTGCATGTTTTTGTTGTTGCACAAGAAAAAAAAAAAACGGTTTCCAGATATTGCTTTGACTGGAGCTCGAAGCCCAAACTGAGGCTTGAGTGGATAATACTCCGGCTCTTTCTTGTGTGTTCTCCAGCTTCCGCTGTGCTAAGACCCTTAGACAGTCAACACTTATAGCAGATTTACTGCAGGCATGGTCTGATTGCCTGAAATTAGACGGGCTCAGTTCTCTGTCTGATCTAGCTGTTTTGCCATCAGCTTTCGTAAGAATGTCCAGATCTGCTACCATCCAAACCGTTGCTGTCATCGTCTCCAAAGTCTTACTCAACAAGCTTTTTGAAAAAGCTCCAACCGAAACTTGTATGAGGAAGCAAAGACGTGTTACGGTTGTATGACTTCCACATGACTCAGATTTGACACCAAAATCCAGGTGTTACATCACCGAATACCTGGAGCAGCCTCATCGTAGCCGACAGAGCAAACAGTAGTGTCTAATACACACGATTAGGTCACAAAAGGAGGAGGCACCAAATCCGGAGAGCCACAAAAGTATTTGATGATGTAATGTGTACTGCTGTCAGCTGCTGAACAAAGGTCTGTTGTGATGACTTATAATTTTCCTCATGACACCATCTTATCTTACAAGCGAGCTCAGGCCTTTGTCCTATAGGAAATACAAAGGGCTGTATCGGCCATGTTTAGAAAAGAGTCAATCATTTGTGAAGTTCCTACCTGCAGGAATTGCAAAGTTAGTTAAATCCACCCTAAAACAGTTTTTTGTCAAAAGTATGTAGCATCTTAGATTCATTGATACAAAATGCCAGATAATCTAGGCAGGAGCAAATCAGACTCTGTCATCCTCTGAAAGGTAAAATAAAGTAGAGTAGAGGTCATTTATGTGTAATTGACTTATTTTATTTCTTTCCAGCGTACATAGTGAGTCAATAAAGTGAGTAAAGGGGATGGGTTTCATCTGGCACCGACTCCTTTTGTAATCATTTAATCTGTGTGCTATTTCCACTGTGTAGACCATCAAATTAATACACTTGAAATGCATTCCATTGACTTTGCTCGCTGTACACATTTAAATTCTCCTGAGAAAGAGCGGAGTTAATATTAAAGCTCATACATATAAAAAGACGTTTCAAATTGTTTTTGTGGAAACCTTGATTTGATTCTCTTTTTTTTCTTCGTTCTTAGAGCCAAACTCCGATTGAATTCCTACCAATTCTTTAGCCTCTTACAGGAAATCTGTTGCAATCAGCGGGCTTTTCCTGGAAGGCTTGTAGGTGAAAGACATAATTTTGCTTTTACAGAAATATATTGTTTGATATTAGAGGGGCCAAACCCTTACATTTCTCCTTTTCTACGATCTTTAAGGCCATCCATCATAAAGAGCAGTGCCAGGGCACCAGGAGTTCACCTCTCAGCTGCCATTTTTCTCTGCAGTGTTTATTTCTGTTACTTTTACAGATCTCAATCTCTGACTCCACCCGGCAGAGCGCTTTTCTGCTGACCACTGGTACCACCTGCACCCGTGCACGTGCATAAACACGGATACACACTTAGGGGTTAGGCCTTAACTCAGGGGTCAGGCCTAGATTCAGGTCTGTGAATGCTGTATGAAGCTTTTTTTAATGTACCGTCCTTCATTTCTCTTGCCGCCTGGCTGTGATTTATTCAGCATACTTTATCCCATTGTTGTTTCAAAATAGCAGACTCTTGTGTTGTGTTTTTTGTAGCGTTTGCTGCTTTTGGAGGTTCCTTCATGTTCCCCATGTGTGCACATAAAGGGTTAAGAACAGGCAGCAGGTTTGAGCCTTCATTTCTGTGAAGTGTTTGTTTTTCC